TTTTCATTATCACTGAATCCTTAAGAATGAACAGATTTTAGTGGCTTCGTAGAATTTTCTGGGTTTATGGCAGATACATGGCCTCAGGCTGATCTCTAGGCTGGTATTAATCCCAGGTTATCTTTCTGCATAAATCCTTGGTAGCACTTTTTGTTACTTTGTTACAGTGAATTCTCAGCTGTGAAGTTAGTCAGTGGGTATGAAACCTTGGAGGCTGTTGGGACTTTCAGCCTCCCCGCCCCCCAGGATGATGTCATGGCCTTGCCAGTGGGGCCCTGTGGCTCTGGGCAGGCCTCGGGGTGGGGGTTGGGGGGTATGGAGTAGGGGGTAGCATAGGCGGCCCGGCCACACGGGAGGTACAGATGGGGATATCCTGAGTCTTCAAAGGCCTTTCTGTGTGTAATGGCTAAGGTGATCATCTGCATGTCTGGATTTCAGGGGTCCTGTGGTCTGAAGCCATCTTCCTGGAGGCGAGGCCCCAGCGGAAGACCAAGAGTGTGGACGCCCTGAAGAAGTGTGAGCATGACCCCCACGTGCTCCTGGCTGTGGCCAAGTGAGTAGGGGTCCTGGTGGTAGTGCCAGTCCTCTTGCTGGGGTCTCCAGGTCCCCAGAACAAGGCAGTCTTCCCTGGTCATGACCACTGGGAGGGTGGCCTTTTCTGGGCCCCTGACCCTCCTTCCCTTGTCCTGGTTCCTTCTCAGGTTTCTGTGCGCTCTGTCTCTGACACTTTTCAGTTTATTCCAACATGGGTCTTGAATTGCAGGACAGACACAGGCCTTCTAACACTGGTCCACATGGAATTTAGGTGATAAGTGAACCTTTTTTGGTTCAGACAGCTGTAAGCAAGACAGTTGTTTCCATTGTGATAGTGCCAGAAGCCAGACTGTTCGACCTGTGTAACCCTGGGAACAATCTAGGGCCCATTGGTCAGGCTCTTGGTGTGCCTGGGGGTGTCTTTCAGGGTGCTGGCCTCAAGGACAAGAGGAGGTGAGCAGGCGACCCTCCACTGCCAGCTTGTGCAACGTGTTGGGCCCGGGGCTCCCTGGGGAGGCATGGAGGGCCTTCAGAATCTCCTGAACCTTCTCTGTTCCCTTCTCAAAGGAGGACAGTGGCCTGAGAGGAGTGGAACCTGAGTGCTGGGTTGTGGCTAGGTGTGGTCAGGTTGGAAAGTGACTGGGCTTGGGGTGGAGGGCTTGTCAGGCCTCTGCCTAGGGCAGGGGGTGTGTGGGGCCAGAGGCTCCTGTGTGCTCTTGCTGGCCCAGCTGCTTCCTCAGTGCCCACCAGCACCTCATCCCCGGCTGCTGTGGGGCTGAGGGTGCTGTGTATGGGGCTTCCCACGAACTTCTGAGGCCCCACCTGGGTCCCTGGGGCTCCTTCCCTCTCGCCTGTGCTTCCACCTCCTGCTCCACTCCGATAGGGCTGCCATAAAACCTCGTAAAAGGCTTTGTAAAGTAAACAGGTCCCTCCTTGCTGTTCCCAGGCTGGTGCTCTGTGTGCTGCTATCTGGGTTTGTGCTCTTTAAATCACAGTTTATCTGACACTGAGCAATTAAGAATACCACAAGGCTTAAAAAACAATCAAGCTATCAGAGCATGAAATTACTCCCTTTTGTAACTGAGACCAGCCAAGGCAGCTGCCTGGAGGTGCCTAGTGCACGTCTGCTTTGGAACTTGACTGCGGAACTGGTGGAGTTGGCTGTCAGAGTGCCCGTCATGCCCTCGCCAGCACGTGGGGAAGGCTCCCAGGACCCTGACTCGATTTCTGATGCTGTGGATCTTCTCCTGGGCCTAGTTTCAGGGGTCTGTGTCTGCTTTTAGACCAGGTTTTCAGTGTGGGCTTCAGCTCCTTCTGGAGATGCCTGGTAGGACAGAATGTTCCAGAAGGTGAAAAGGAGGAGCAGGCAGAAACTTCACTTTCCCTAATCACAGCCTTGATAGAATTTTTTGTCAGATCAGTTACTTTCATCTCCCTATGTTTTACTCAGAGGAAGAAATAATTTCTTGCTCTGTGGGTGGTTTCCTGAGAAATGCCTCAGGAGGACACTTGAAGGAAGGAGGGTTTCAGGTAGTGACCTGGAGGAGTTTCCGGGTGGCCAGGCCTCATCCCTTGGCACCCCAGTGGAGCCTGAGCTCTCCAGGGAGGGGTCAAGACCAGAAGCCCCTGTGCCTGACTCTGCCACTGCAGTGGGTCACCAGGCTCGAGGTCTGGCCCACCACAGAGCAAACTGTGACCTGAGCAGGCCAGGGCTGCCCTCAGCGTGGCTCCCGCGGCCGCAGAGCACCACCAGCACTGACCTGTGGCCACTTGGTCCCCCTTCTGCTTCTCAATAGGCTGTTCTGGAGCGAGCGGAAGATCACCAAGGCCCGTGAGTGGTTCCACCGCACCGTGAAGATCGATTCGGATCTTGGGGATGCCTGGGCCTTCTTTTACAAGTTTGAGCTGCAGCACGGCACAGAGGTGAGGCGCCTGCTGCCCGTGACCCCCACCCCACCAGTCCCGAACGAAGTCCTTGTGGCTGACACGGCTTCCATGGCTGCTTTCTGGCTGTAGCCTTGGAGTCTCTCAGCCTGAAATTTAGATGCTCGGGGGCATCTTTTAACGAGTTGGTTGTGATTGGGACCAGGGCCGGGGCAGAAACAGGGCTGGAGCTGGAGGCCTGAGGGTTGTCTCTGTGTCACAGCCGTCCTGTCCTGCTGGACAGAGACTTCCCAGAGCCCAGCGCCCTCGGGGGTTCCCCCCCCATGTGGAAGCTGGGTCCTCTTTGGGGGGCGGGTGCAGGCACTGGTGTGAGGCCTGGTAGAGTACGGTGGGAGTGGGTTGGTTCAAGCACCTGCGGTCCCCACCCAGGAGCAGCGGGAGGAGGTGAGGAGGCGCTGCGAGAACGCCGAGCCCCGGCACGGGGAGCTGTGGTGCGCCACGTCCAAGGACATCGCCAACTGGCAGCGGAAGATCGGGGAGATCCTGGTGCTGGTGGCGGCGCGCATCAAGAACACCTTCTGAGTGTCCTGCGCAGGGGTGGGGGTAGGGCGGGGGTGGTGGCCGTCCTGGTTGTTGATTAAAGGTTTTCTAGTAGTCTTGGGGTTCACGGCAGCGGGTTTTCTCCAAATCCTACCCTCATGTGCTTTGACCGTCCCAGTCTGGCCCCCACACTGGATAGGGCTAGCGCTCCAGGCCTTGCAAGAGCCTATGCCCCTCAGAAGAAGCGCCAGGAAAGCTGGGCAATTCTCCAAGGGTTTTTGGAGATGGAGGCAGGAACTTGTGTTCTGGGTAAAAGCTGTGTGTGGGAACAATGAGGGCCCAGCTGGCCAGGTGACCCAGTGCCCCCGCATGTGCAGGTCTCCTGCCCCCGGGGTGGTCTGTGCCTCCTGTCCCCCCGTGGCAGGCTGTGTGCCCCCCCCAGGTGAGTGACTTTCCTGAGTGCTGTTGGGCCTGGCCCCTGAGGTTTTACCGCAGGACGGTGAAGAAGCCCTCGGCATGTGACAGGGTTGCTCCCATTGGCAGGGGAGTTCATTTTTGCTAATTTGTAGTTACTGATTTTTACCCTAAAGCTCTTGGACCCATTCTTTCTCTGGACAGAAAATGCACTGGTTACCTGGAGACTTGAATATGTTTCCACCATGTGAGGACAGGAGGTTTCCTTGGGGTCTGGATCCCTGGGTTTGTGTCCAGTTGGAAACTAGCCAGCTCTTTTGGAAGAGGGTGTGCTGGCTGTGGGTGGAGGCATCTAGTCAGAGGTCAGAGGTGGTCCAGAAGCCGTGGGCTTGTGGGCCACGGCCGTGGGCTGTGTCACTTGTGACAAGAAGGGCAGCTGGCTGTTGTTTCCACACATTCTTGTAAGAAGTGATCCCAGCGGGGCTTCTTTGCCTCTTACTAGAGTTAGTCACTGACCTGTGACTGCCGAGGGTGGGGGTCACGCCCTCCTTGTGAGCACCTAGGGTGTGGGCGTCTGCTTGTAGAGGACAGACATTGCTGGGTCCAGCCCAGGGCAGGATCAGACTGTCCCTGCCTGGGGTCAGGAAGTGCTGATGCCTCAGGGTGGTCTGAGACTGGAAATCCTTCCTGTCCTCCGTGAGGCCAGTCTGGACAGCCATGAGGAGGTTCCTGGGTGTCTTCACTGAGCCTCTGGAGTTTCCTTTGGTCATTTTTGGAGGAAGTGGGAGGGGTCCTGCCTGTTGCCCTTCTAAGAGCTTGAAAGCCAGCCTATCCCTCCACAGATGTGGAAACTGAGGCCCAGGCTGCAGCCACAGGCAGCTGGAGCTCTCAGTTGGGTGTGGCTTCTCCTGGACACTTCCTCTGACTTTGGGTCAGGTGAGACCTCCTGCAGGGCTGGAGGGTTCCAGAGCATCTGATAGCATGTGCAAATGTCTTTCTCATTTGCCTGGGGGTCGTTTTCTCTATGCGTTGGGGTGGTGGTGAAACTGCTTTTCTCCCTGGGGAAAACACATCTTAGCTTTTCTTCCACTGACATGTTTCAGTTCCAGTTCAAGGCTGAGTTCCTCAGCTCCCCTTATTCTGAAGCACTGCTGGGGGCAGGGCAGGATGGTGCTTACACGCTGCCCAGCAGGGTGCTATGGTCCAGCTCCCTGCAAGGTGGTTTGGGCGAGTGGCCATGAGCTTCCCCAGCAAAAGACCCCCTTGACCCAGGAGGGGTGAGCAGCAGGAGGCAACTCTCGGCTGAGCGCTGGGCCAGCGAAGTGCTGGGAAGTCCCCTTCCTGGGACCTGCTGGGGCAGGACCCCCGGACGTCAGGGTGGAGGAGCTGGGGGCTGGGCGGGTGAAGTTCTGCTCACCTGGTCCTGCCGGCGTTCAGGTTCCTGGAAGAGACAGCACCTGCTGACCACCAAGGAAGGTCCTAGAGGAGGGTGCTGGCAGGCCCCTGCCTCTCCTAGCTCCCCTTCCCTACCAGCTGGGCCCCACCCTGCTCACTGCCCACCTAGCACCCTACCCTTGCCTTGGCGGAGGAGATCTCTCCAGTCGATGGCTTAATCCAAGATCCACTGGATGGGAAGACAGCCCTCTAGGGCTGGGCTTCAGGGTCAGGTTAATTGAAGAAGTGATTGGATAGGGGGTGGGGAGAGGGAGGGGGAAGGCTGGGATCCTGGGCCTCCCTCCTGCTCCCTCCCTCCTCTGCTCGGAGGAGCCAACTTCAAAAGCCTTGTCCGCCTGCGTCCAGGGGAGCTCTGTTGGCCAGGCTCGGAACTGGACCTGGAGTGGCAGCCGCACTCCCCACCTGAGGACCCCAGGATCATGTCCGAGGCCCCCTGGCGGGAGTGAGGGAGGGCCTGATCCTGAGAGGCCCATGGTGAGCAGCTGTGGGCCGCTGGGGTGGGAGCTGTCTTGGGCTGCCGTCCCTCAGTGCCCCCACCGGGAAATCCCCCTTGGTTCCCGTCACCGCCGCCTGGCCTCGGTGCTCCTGCCTGTCCTTGGCAGCTACAGAGGGAGGGGGAGTTGCCCTCCTAGTGCCGGGGCCACCCTGTCCTTGGGGGCTGAACTGGCCTCAGCCTCGGGCCCCGCTCAAGGGCCAAAAGGCCTTCCTGAGACCCCCTGGGCAACCAACCTCCCCTACTTGGACATCCCTCCAGCACCAGTGGCTCTTGTTCTCACTATGATCTCTGACCCTCGACAGGCAGAGGGGCGACTCTGGGTTGGCCATTATGTGAAGCTTGTCTGGGGAGGGGGTAGTTTTGGAGAAGGGGCCATAGCTAATAATTGCATGTGCTTCCCCAGCCAGCGCTGCCTGGTGCCTCAGGCAGAGCTGCTGTGGACTCCAGCTCCAGCCCTATGTGGTCAGGTTCTCCTACCAGGCTGGGAAGCAGAATCAAGTTCTGTGCCTGAGTCCCAAGTCTCGCTGGGTTCGCATGATTAATTTCCAGCCACTGTGTGACTCCAGCCTGGGGGCTGGGAGCCTTTCGACAGGCAGCTTTCTCTCTGATGTTTGGGCTTCTGGGGGTGGGGGGTGGTGGTGGCTTCTTATCCATCAGAGCCAGTTCCTTATTCTAGGGGAGGGGAGATCTGGTGGGGTGGAACACGGTCCCCTTCCTCCCTTCCCATCGGGCTTTCCCCAAGCCTTCCCCTTCCAAAGGGGTGTGGCCTTGAACTCTGAGCCCTCACCCCTGTCCTGGTTGGGCTGGGGTGCAGAGGGACCCCAGCTCCCATGGTTCTCAGAGCTGGTAGCAAGCCATTGATGGGGGGGAGCTGCCCAGCGATAGAGGGGGGCAGATTCTGCCCTCTCCTGTGGGGCATCTGGAGGTGAGCAGAGTGCTAGGGGTTGGGTGCCCAGCAGAGGAGAGCCCAGCTCTGATGGGCATGGGTCAGGGCATGGCTAGGAGCAAGGCTATATGGAGGGTATTTGTTGGTGTACCCAGACCTAGCTCAGCCCTGCCCTCCAGTCTTGGCATTTGGCCATACAGAGCAGGGCTGCGGGTGCTAATTCTTATCTTTCCCCAAACCTGCCAGAGCAGTGGTGCCTAGAGCATTTGTTGAGGAGCATGGCAAGATCTCTGTTTATACCAGCTCAGCGAGTCCGTGTGGGTGGGTGTGTGTGGGGGGGTGGTGATGTGGGGAAGCACATTACCCGAAGCGCTGCAAGAGGGTCGGAGGGTCGGCCCCTCCCTAGAGCCGGTATCCCTTACAGGGGCCTCCCAAGCCCGCGCTCTGGGCGCTCCTGCTGGTGCTTTTGGGGGCCGCTCTGGGCCGGGCCGGGATCGGCGCCTGCAGCGTCCCTGACGTGCTTCACCACTACCGCGCGGTTATCTTCGAGGACCTGCAGGCCGCGGTGAGGTGGACCAGGCCAAGGGTCGAAGGGGCTGGACCGGGCTCCAGACACCTCCATTTCATTCAGAAAAACCTGACTGGAGACGCCGTCTCCCGACGGCGGGGCCGGGTGGGAGTCTCATGTGGCGCCCAGAAGGTACGGAGATGCTCCCACCCAAGCCCTCCAGCCCCCTCCCCACCGGGCTCCTCCCCCAGTCCCTCGTCTCCTCCCCTCCCCAGGAGCACAGTATCCTACTGTCCATCGTGGCCCTGGGTCGGACCCTACGTGGGGCGGTGGCTGGGGGCCGCCGCGGGGCTCTGGAGAAGGCTGCGTGGACTGTGGCGGTGCGCACTGAGGCGGTGATGCGACGCCACTGCCGGAAGCTGCGCCAGGTTCGCGTCCCCGCCCGCTCCCACAGCCGCGGCCTCCCTTCCCAGGGACCCGACAGGAGCTAGGGGGGAGGGGAGGGGGGGGACCGTGCCCACGCCCTGACCGACGCGTCCCCGACAGCGGAGCTGGCGGCCGGAGACGCGCCCTTCCCGGCGTCCAGGCGGCCGGAGGCGGCTCCTGCTGCGCGCCCTGGACGCCGTCGCCACCTGCTGGGAGAAGCTGTTCGCGCTGCGCGCCGCGGCCACCGACGGCTCCTGGGGCTCCTAGCACCCCGAGCGCGCGGGGCTGGGAAAGAGCCCCTCCTTCGCCGCGGCCTGCACTCTTCCCAGGCCCTGGGATTGGAGGCAGTCAGTGCACGCCTGGCGAGCTGGTCCTGAAAGGGGCCCTCCCTCTGCTCCGAGCGAGGCCCCAATAAACTGAGCTGGTGCTGCGGCCCGGTTCTACCTCTCTTCGCCTGCCAACTGTGGGGCCCGGCCGCCCCGTCCGCGTCTTGGTGGGGAGGGGATGCTGAGATCACCGACACTCGCGAAGCAATGCAGAGCCGTGGAGTGGTGCTCCCAGGCTCGACCAGCAGGGGGCGCCACGGGATGGGACTCCCCCTCAGTTGGTGCTCCATGCTGCGGGGTGTCGGGGCGGGGGGAGATGGGGGGATGGGGGTGGGAGACTCCTGCTGGCCCTAAAAATGTAGCAGCGTATCCGTCCTGCTCCACTCTGGGATGGGGGAAGGGTGGAAATGGAGGGGAGGGGAAGGCTGAGCTTTGTGAATTTGGAGCAAAACAACCGGATAAAGGAAACGGGCCTGAAGGGAAGCGAGCTGTGGCCCTGGCTGCAAGCTGGACCAGGCCATTTCCTGCGGCCTGGGAAGTGTGGCAGCAGCCCCTCTGTGGGACTGCACAGGCCAGCCAGGGACCCACCGTCTTGCGCTCTGGGACCCTATGCTTGCCTGGACGGGTGGGGAGTCCGAGCTCTAGGACTGGAGGTCTGTGGCCCCTCCCAGATCACAGCCTGTGGAGGAGGGGGGAACAGGGCAGGCAGAGCCCCTGGCCAAGGCGGATGCTTGGCAGGTACACCTGTCGTCAGGTGGACAGACCCAGTAGGTACCGAAGCAGCCCTGCCCGGGGGCACCCTGACAGAACAGAGGCAAGCAGGAGAGCTACAGACAGGTCTTGGTGCCATCAGCAGGGCACAGCTGCCCCTGATCGCCCCCAGTGTGTGGGTGTAAACACGCTCAGTCTGAGCAGAGCAGCAACAACTACTGTCCACAGTTCATAAGTAGGAAACTGAAGCAATAGGAGGTTTCAGCACTTGCCCCAAATCTCAGCCCGGAAGTGTGAGAGCTGGGATAAGAGCCAGGCCCCAAGCAGAGGGACACCCATGTGTGGGGACTTATTCCTTCACCTAATGGCTACCAGGCCATGAGAGCACACCCTGGGTGTGAGGGGGGCCTGTGCAGTTAAGGTGAGGCTGAAGGAGAGGCTTGGATGTGAATGGGGTGAGGAGAGGTCCAGGCAACCCCAGAGTGCTGACCTGAGTCCCTGGGTGAGTCTTCATCTTGAAGTTGAGGAATGCTGATGGAGCAGCAGCTGAGGGGAGCAGTCACATGGCTGGCTCCTGCTATGTAAGCCTGGGTCTGTGGCCAGGTATCTGTGTAGGAGGGGAAAGGCCCACTGTGGTTGGAGCACAATGCATGGGGGAGCCAAGTCAGGCCTGGAGAAGGTCAGTAAGAGAGCCCGAGAGTCTGGGTGCAGGGACAGGAAGGGGACAGGCCCTTCACGGAGGGTCCCCCCGCCCCCGTGCCTGTGCTTCCTCAAGGGCACCTGGCTTTCTGCCCCAGTCCCAGGGCCTGTGGGGAGAGCACTCTTCCTAACACCACTTTGGTGTGGCCTCCTGGGCAGTCATGGCTGCTGCCATGGTGGGTGGGCAATGGGCAGCCCTTCCATCCACCCATGCCCGAGGCAATTTCCAGCAAACCCATTTCAGGGGAGCTGGGAGGAGGGGTAGAGGCCTCAGTTACAGGGCCACAATCTCCATCTGGGTCCTGGGCCACAACCACAGGGGCAGACAATGTTCCTGCAGCCGGAACCTGTGGTTTCTCCCTGGGGGCTCCTGTCAAGAGTTGCCCAGGTAGTGAGGGACCAGCAGAGAGATAGAAAGAAACTCAATGGTGAGGTTAGGGCCATGGGTCATGGGGCCACCAAGGGCAGAGTTTAGGTGGTTTGTGCAGTGGATAGGCCCCACCTTTCATGGACGCAAGGCATCTGCCCAGCCCCAGTGTCCTGCCTTCCCTGCCAAGGCCCCAGACATGTGGCCTGAGCCTAGTTCTTGCACTATTTCTGGAGCACACACCTGGTGGGGTTGGGGCCTGCACCCTGTGGCGCCTTGCCTTACATGCATGCCTTCTCAGCAGCTTCCACCGGGGTGGAGGCTGGGGCCCAGAGGGAGGGGCTGTGCAGGGTGGCAGATGGGGCTGCAGGGCACTGGCCAGGGAGCTAGACCCCCCATGCACAGTGCTGCAAGGAGGGCCCAGGCAGGCTTTGAAGGGTAGTCCGAGTCCCACGGCCTCCCCAGACTGGGAGCCTTTGAAAGAACATCTGGAACACGGACGACAGGCAAACTAGTCTCTGGATTCAGAAAACCAAGAAGTTAATCCCAACTGTGCCACTTGTGTGTTCCCCTGCTCCGCCCACGGGCCCCACTCTCTCCCTACCTCCCAACTCTGCCCCTTTCCAGGCTGCCAGCAGACCATAGGGCTGGGGTCAGTGCCAACCCAGAGCACTGGCTCTTCTGAGAACCGCAGAGTGCTTTGCCCTGCCCGAGGCCCACTCATGGGCCCCAACAGCACCTCCCCCATGTCCCCTCCCCAACTGGCCACCACCCCAGCCCAGCTGAGCACCAGGAGGAGGTGGGAGAGACAAGTGCCTGCCATGCCAGACTCTGAACAGAGGCACCTCCCATGTTTGCGGAGGCAGGACGTGAGTTGGTCAGACCCTGCATCTGGCGCTGGGGGTTACCAGAGCAGGGAGGAAACACCTGCACCAGACCTGAGGGCCCTCGCCTATGAGCCCAAGTGTGGGGTCCTCGCCTGCAGGTGTGCACGGAGGGCTGCTGCAGCCATGGTTGATGCGGAAACACAGGAGGCCCCCACTCCAGGAAGCAAAGCATATACTCATGGGGGAGGAGTGCCAGGTGTTGGCGCCCATTGTCCCTGCCAGTGGCCTGCGGGACCCTGGGGGGGGGGCGCCCAGGGACAGTCCCTATCCTGCCCCCTCTCCAGGAAAAGACCTAGCTCTGTAAACAGAAACAAACAACCGTCCCCCCATCCCCAAGTTAAAGCCCGGAAGAACCAGCAGAGAGCGCACACCTGCTGGACTAAACGAGTCCTTGTTTGGGGGGAAATGGGGAGGCCTAGGGGCGGAGGGTACTATGCGCTGTGGGGGAGGTGGGGCGCCCTGGGGTTGGACGCTGGCCCCTGGGTTACCCACCCGGCTGGAGGGGCACAGCCTGGCTCAGTTAAGTCCTGTCGTCTGTCTCCATGGCCCGGTTATGACAACTGTGGCTGGGAGGTGAGGCAGCCAGGGCCCCCACCAGGTGAGCAGGCCTCTCCTCCGGCTGCCCCCGCGCCCCCTGCCCGGCCTCCGCGGGGCGTGAGGCCAGGGGTCCGGCTGCGGCCCGAGATAAGCGCCGCACCCGTCGCCGCTTCCTGCGCTTCCTCCCAGCGCCGCCGCCGCGGGCCCCTTCCTGTTTTCTCGCGCGGGCGGGCAGGGGCGTGGGAGACGGGGCGGGGTCGTGGGGATGGGCGGGGTTGTGGGGCTAGGGGAGTTGTGTGGGGGAGGGGCGGGGTTGTGAGGCAAGGGGTGGAGTCATGGGGGGACAGGGGAAGGGAGGGGTCCTAGGGGTTGGGGCGGGGTTGTACTGGCCGGAGCTGGACGGGGGCAGCGATGGGGTCTTGGGAGATAAGGCAGAGGGTGGGGAGACTTGCTGGGCTTCCCTGGGAGGCTGGGTGCTTGTGCAGAGGTAGAGGGGTCGGGAGGAAGCAGAGTGGGCTGTGCTCTGAAACACAAAAGAGGAGGAACATCGGCGTTCCCATTCCTCCTCCTCCCCAGTCCTGCACCAGGAACCCCCCCACACTTGGACCAAACCCTCTGTGGACTGGACTGGAGTCTGCTCTTTAGGGCCCATCCCCAACCTGGGGCAGCAGCGGCGGTGGGCGGGCGGGTAGAGGACCAAGCCTTGGTTTGAGGACCTGTTAGGATGAGAGGTCAGCTGCTCCGGATCCCCTCCTTTGGAGATACCTGCTCCAGCGTAGTGGGCTTCCCTGGTGGCTCAGACGGTAAACAATCTCCTATTTAAGATACTTAATCTGCTTGTTCAGACTTGGTCATTAGAGATACACATTTATGTTACTTTACTGAAAACACCTTGTGGTAAAGAATCTGCCTGCCATTGCAGGAGACCACGGTTCCATCTCTGGGTCAGCAAGATCCCCCTGGAGGAGGACATGGCAACCCACTCCAGTATTCTTGCCTGGGAAATCCCATGGACAGAAAAACCTGGAAGGCTACAGTCCATGAGGTCACGAAAGAGCTGGGCAGGACTTAACAACTAAACAACAACAACATAGGTGTTGTACGCTGTCAACTGAATGACTGGGCTGTCTAGGGTGTTTGTCTATCAAGTGGAGAGTTAAGTCCCTCTTCACCTGCCCAGCCTAGCCTTGTTGGGAGCAGTCCTGATGCTGGTGTGGTGTGTGGCTGGTTGAGTCGGGGATGTTACTGAGGTTGTGGAGGTTGTGATGACCATGTCTACTGGGGAGAGGGGGTGCACCGTACCTGCTCTCAGGCATATCCCCTCCTCCTCTGGGCAGCTTGGGGGGAGGGTTCCACATCTCGACTTAGGTCACCCCAGTGTTAGGCTGGGTCCTGGGCATGAGAGCTGTGACTTAGCCAGGCCAGGCTGCTAGAACTTCCCGCCAGGAGCTAGGTCGCCTGGGTCTGTTCCTGGCGGGCCTGACTCAGCGGGAGCTGGGGGTGGGGACTTCCCTTCTCCTGACCCTAGGGGAAGCAGGTGGGTGGGGCCAAGAGGGGGAGGGGTGGGAAGCCTGATCCAAGGCTGGAACCACCCAGGCCCTGAGGCTGTGGTCCTGCCTAGGAGGCCTGGGTCTCTAGGCCCTAGGAACCCAGTCTGCCCTGGGTCTTGTGTGGTACTCACTTGACTGCTTTCTGAAAACAGCTGCCATCTGTGTGTGTGTGTGTGTGTGTGTGTGTTTTCTAAGTCCTGATTCTGCTCCTGAATTCCCCCAGCCCCTGACTCCAAGGACTTGGCCCAAATTGAGACCCCGCCCCTCCTACCCTGGCAGTGGGGGAGGGGTTTCTGGGGGGCAAGCTGCTTGGCTGCTCCCACTTGGGAGCCCCCATCCCCACCCTACCCCAAGGGTGAGGTGAGGAGAATGCTAGAAAACTGATCCCTGTCCAGGAGAGACAGTCAGCCTCTCTGTGTGTCTCTAGGATGGGGGCACAGGTGAGGAGTTGCCTGTGCCCAGGCAGGGGTCTCTCAGCAGTAGGAGAAGCTGGGCTGGCACTCCCTTCGCTCTGTCCTGGCCAGGGAGTGGGGTGAAGATATGGGAGGGTCTGCCCTGGGGGTGGGGCAGGGGGCAGAAGCTACTGGACTCTGGCTACTATGGGTATGCCTCCTACAGAGACTGTCCCCACGGTGGGGGGCACACCTTGGCCCAGCTGACCCGGAGCTCCAGTGGATGGGTCCCCTGTCCCCCAGGCCCACCCAAAGTGGGAGTCGGAGGCCATGGGAGCTGCGTGTGCACACTAACGAGTGACATGACCTTTGTGCCTGAGCCCGGGACTTGGAATTGGTGTCTCAGAGCTCCCCCTCATCCCCCACCCCCGGCCATGACGAGTGCAGCTGGACTGGACCACTCGTGTCCCTTTGGACCTCATTCCCTGCTTTCTTCCTGTGTACCAGCCCTGTCCTTGGTGTCCTGGAGACCATTTCTGTCTGTGCCTTGACCTGCCCAGGGCTCCTCTCTCTACGTCCACATCCATCTCCTCAGCTTGTCTTTCTCTCCCTTTGTTTTGGAGGTCTCTGGGCCCTGCTCACAATATGGCGGGGATGGGGGTGAAGGGGGCCCAGGTGTCACTGCCCCATTCCACTCGCTGAGGTGTGAGACTCATGCCAGTTTATTTTTTTTTTATGCCAGTTTAGAGAGGTGATTCCTTGGAGGCAGGACACCAATAAGAACAGCCCACCGCCTTTTCACCCTTCAGACACACTCAGGCAGTGGACCCCTATGCACCAACACCCAAGCTGACAGGGAGACACAGATGTACACAGAGTCTCAGACACTGTCACACACATAGTTATCATGGAGGGTCACGTTGAATCACATGGTCACTCTGTCACAGCATCACTGCCATGCTCAGAGCATGTGCAAACTTGCTCACATGTAGTCAGATTCAGACTTATAGCAGCCACAGAGCAGCCCACATCATCACAAGATGCCCATGTCCCAGGGTGCACGTACCATGTCAGGGTTGTCAGAGATCAGCCCCATATGCTACTGGGGGAGGACAGGCCAGGGGACACATGACCCCTCCTCTTGGAAGACCTCTGTGGCCCTGAGAAGAGTGTGGGTGTGCGGAGAGCTGGTGTTGGGACCCTGTCCCAGGAAAGAATCCCTCAAGCTGATTGTTGCAAACTTTCCCTGAACTCATGGGCTCCTCAGTGCTGGGGGGACCGAGGAGGCTGTATGGAAAGAGGGTATCTGGTCCTGCGGGGATGGGGCACAGGGCTAGAGTGATGGATTCCAATGTGGGAAGCTTGAGATGGGAAGCCTGAGCCCCCTGCTCTGGTCATTGGCCATGTGTCACTGGAGAGCCTGCACAGGTCACCCTGGGGAGCAGCAGGGATTGGTCATGGTGCTACCCTCTCTTGGGACACTGGGTTGAGTGAGAATGATGGACTGGGGTCCCAGGATGTCAGGTCTTCAGGCCGGCGTCAACCCCACCAGCGTCCTTCAGAAAGAGGTGCTGTCTTGGGCAGTCACTGGGCTTGAAGAAAGTTTTAAGGATGAGGTGAGGATGATAAAACCTGGGTGAGAGTGTGGGGGGATTTCTGACCCCTCATAGGCTTGAGTTAAAATAGAGAGTGGTAGGGAACGGGGGCTGGGAGGGTGAGGAATGCCCTCACCTCTTGCCTCCCACCAGTTGCCTGGGGTAGTGTCCTGGAGGGATGGAGAATTGCCTGCTGTGGGCCCAGCTGGGAGTCAGGCTCTCAGGGGATTTGGAGGGGGGGCACATCCAGAGCTCTAGAGGGAGCTGCTCCTCCCCACCCCCAAAACTCCCCATCCGCCCTGCAACAACCACAGACACTAGAGTTCGGAGGAAAGGTGAGGTGCTTTATTGTGGCCTCGCCTGGTCCAGGGGGACCCAGCTCCTGGCTCCTCCTTTACAGCAAACAAATGTTATTTAAAAAGCCCTTGCTACATTGGTGCTTTGCATCACTGAAACCCCTTGGGAGAAAAAGTTTAATTAAAACTTAAATACACTGTTTTATGAATATAAAAAAGGCAAAGTAAAAAACAGCCTAGTTCTAGAAAATACACTGCAAGAAAAGGATTAAGCTTAGCCCCGGCAGGGTCAGCCCACACGTCCTAGGCCTGGGCTTCCCGGCCAAGCCCCAGTACGTGGTGACCCTCCCGTCGGGGTGCCCTCGACCTGGCCAAGGCCCAGCGTCGCGGGTTCCTGCGGGTCTGTGACGAGTAGCGGCAACTCCATCTCTGAGAGAGAGGCATCGCACAGTGCCCCAGGCGACCTATCCAGAGATGCAGGCGCTGTAGTAGACAGCAGAGCTGGCATCGGACAGCGCGGCGATCAAGCTGCTCTCCTCGGGGCAGGACATGGCGCGTGGGGCCAGCTTGGCCAGCGCCACGTGGTACGGGAGCCCGGCGGCGTCGGGGCGAGTCCGGCTGCAGTTGAGGTACTGGTCGAACTCGGTCAGGTCCACGTCGGCCCATAGGTCGGCGGCGGGTCCCAGCGGCTCCGCGTTCTCCAGGGGCGGGGCTTCGGGCGGTGGCGACAGAGGGCCGGGGTAGGGGCCCGGGCCGGGCGCGGGGGCGCCGTAGTAGAGGCCGCAAAGCGGCGCGGCGGGGCCAGGCGCGGTCCTAAGCGCCTCGGCCGGGGGCGCCCCGAAGCAGCCGCCTGGGTTCCTGGGCAGCTCGGCTGAACCGTAGGGCGCACGGAAGGCCCGCAGAGAGCAGTCCTCCGGCGCCGCGGGCGGAGGGAAGAAGGCGGCCTCGCCGGGTTCCAGGCCGTCCAGCGGCGAGCGCTCCGGTGTGGGCAGCCCCAGACCGTCGAACTCGGCGCCCAACGGCGGCAGCTCGCGGAAGACCCGGGCCGGGCCCGTAGCCGCGGGAAAGGGCTCGGGAGGCGGCGGCGGCGGCGGTGGCGCCAAGCCTGGGAGGAGGAGGCCGGGCTCCAGCCGCCGGGCCTTGCGCGCTTGCTTTTTGCGGCGCGGCCGGTACTTGTAGTTGGGGTGGTCGCGCAGGTGCTGCACGCGCAGCCGCTCCGCCTCCTCCACGAAGGGCCGCTTCTCCGCCGGGCTCAGCTCCTTCCACGCCTTGCCTGCGAGTCGCGGGCGCGGGTCAGCTGGGTGCCGTCGGGAGAGCTGGCAGGCTGACAGCCGATCCCAGCGCGCGCCCCTGCGTGAGGTCTCCCGGGACCCCGGCCGCCACCCCCCCCTGCTCCTGCCCACCCCCCAGCCCCAGCTCCCTCCCCTGCCTCGCGGCCACTCACCTAGCATCTTGCTTAGCACCGCGTTGTGCAGGTCTGGGTTCTGTTGCGCCAGCCGCTTGCGCTCGTCCTTCGCCCACACCATGAAGGCATTCATGGGCCGCCGGATGCGCGACTCGTCGGTCCCCTGGCGTTCCCCACGGCCGGCCGGGCTGAGACCATAGCGCCCCGGCTCGGGGCTGCGAGGCGGGCTGCGCGGCGGGCTGGGTGGCGAGGCAGGCGCGGCGGGCGCGGTGGGGACGGCGGGGACGGCGGGGAGGCCGCGCGGCTCAGCGGCGGCCCCGGGGCCCGGGGCCCATGCACAGTCGCGGCGGGCGGGCGGATCGTCCTGTGCGCCGTAGCCGAGCGGCGATCTCTGCATTCCAGCTGGGCGCGGCCTGGGCGGAACGGAGCGCGGGAGCGCGGAGGGTGGGCGGCGGGCACGTCGGGGTCGGACGCGCTGGGTGGGCAGGCGGCGGTGGGGACGGCAGTGGCCTCTCGCCGGGTGGGCGCCCAGATATAGCAGCGCGGGGGCCAATGGGCGGCGTGGCGGACAGGGCGGGCCTGAGCGGGCCGGGGCCGCCCCCCCTCCTCCCGGGGGCTCCCTTTCTTCTCCGCGGGGCGAGATTCCGCCGTGGCCTCCTCGAAGCGGCGCTCCCCGCACCCCCTCTGAAGGAGAGACCCCCTCTGAATGGGAGAGGGCGGCTGATGTGGCCCGAAGCTTGGCAGGGGGCGGCCTTGTGGGGGCTGTCAGACTTTAAGAATCAGACTCCCAGGCAGGAACTGGGGGCGGGGGCGGCTGCCTTCCCAGCAGATTCTGACTCCAAGGGAAGTTCACCTTGGGAAAAGCGCTTTGTGTCTTGAGGGAGCTGCTTTGAGTAACCCAGGGCATCACTGCTCACTTGTTCTTCACCTACATGTGGAACTTGGAGTTCCAGGAACTCTGAGCCTCCCTCCTCCCCCACCGCTCCCCAGGTCTGTTCATGGGGTTAAGGGAGATGTTCACCGTGTCCCCCACCCTGCTCGCAAGCGCTGGAAAATCGGCAAACCGCAGCAGCTGAGTACCTGGAGGAGAGGGTAGATGGCCGGCATCTATATTAAAGCAAGGGAAGGGGTCCAGTGCTTGGAGCCCTGAGCCTCATCCCCCTCCCCAGGGCCTGATTGACCAGTTGTAGTAGCTGGTTACCCAGTCCAGTCGGCCAGGCCAGTGCTGCTGCAGGAGTGAGGCTGGGGCAGGTGGCAGGAGGAGGGGCCCTCCCCTGGGCCATCAGACCCCTGAGGGTGTCCAGAGGAGCTGCCAGCCCCCTTGAAGACCCCTCCCACCCCTTCCAGAGGGTGTCTGGGTTCCCAGACCTTGAGAGGTGTTCCCCAGGCAGGCTGCTTCCCTGCCCCCATGCTGAGGGTGGTTCTAGGGGGGCTGTGAGTGTGCGTGGTGGTGGGGGGTGTTGTAGGATAAGTTTTCCCTCCTGCGCATCCACTGGCAGTCTGGGAGCTCTGTAGCTCTACTACCTCATCAGGAGTCCCATCCCATGTGTTGAGAGCTCCATGGTATGTAACCTCAGGTGACAATGATCCTAGCTGTGGGTGGCCAGAACTCCTGGATCTGGTAGTCCCTCTAGGCCACAGTCAGGGCTTATGAGGGGGCAGGTCCCCTGTGGGTCTGACAGCTCCCACAAGCGGCTGCTCCTGAGCTGTCCTGTGGAGAGGCCAGCACCCCCACAGGGGTCCTCCACCATGAGGTTGGTTGGGTGTGTATCCCATCAGTGCAGGCTCGGTGGCTCCTATCAGGTTTCCATCTCTCAGGCTCTGGCGCCTAATTCATGGACACCGAGCGCATGCTGATGGACTGGGGACAGTTGAGGGGGTCCCCTTGGGTCTGGGGGGAAGACTGGCTTTTCCTGGGAGGTAGGCAAGAATGGGGGGCCTGAGGGTGGACTGGTGTACAACCTCTCCCAGAGGTGCCAGTTTTCCTTTGACCAATGTGGATGGACTGGGGTTGGGAGAAGAGACATGTGAGGAAGACTCGGGGCTGAAGGATGGGTCCGTGGGACCAGCATCTGGCAGAGGTGACATCGCCCTGCAGCCTTCTGGGTGTGGTCTTGGGTCAAGGGCCTGGCTCAGCCTGAGCAGCAGGAGTCTGAGCTGATCACCACTGGGCTTGGGAAGGGGGCTTCTGGTTCCTCCACTCCAGCCCCTGACCTTGTGGTGGATTTTCGGCTCCCTCGGGGCCCTACTTGGGCCCCTGTAGCCCTTGAGAGCTGAGTGGCTCAAGCTGCTGGGAGCTCCCTGGCCAGAATTACCTCACCACCAGGGCCCCACCCCCCAGGAGGGCTGCTTCGCCTGGCGCCAGACACTGACCCTCCCTCTTGGCTGAGCTCCAGGATTCAGGTGTCCGGCTGTCACGTCCTGTGAGCTGGGGCTCAGCAAGGCAGGGGAGAGCCTCCTGGGGTAACCCCCACCTCCTCGGTGTCAGGCTCCCCTCCTCTTTGTGCTGCCTGGCAAGGCTGACATTAGCTCTGGCCCACCATCCAGATGGGAAAACAGTGGGGTGGAAGCCGCAGTCAGGGTGGCCCTGACCTTGGAGCCTCAGGGCTGGGGATACGCCCCGGGGCTGTGGAAGGGCTGTCGTGGGTGTGACCAGTTGGGCATCAGAGGTGTGTGTCTGTGTGTGGTCTGTGTGTCCATGTATGTCTGCCTGGGTGTGGGGAAGAGGCTGGACTCTGCCATAGGAGATGAGGTCGTGCAGGGAGTGGAGGTCTGGCCCTGTACATCCACCAGAGGAGGAGTTCCCAAAGACTTCTCCAGCCACCAAGCTATGGCCCCAGTCCATCCACAGTCTGAGGGTGTTCCTATGTCTTCAGGACCCACCTCGTCCAAGTCTGCTGCTGCCCACTTTGGGAGGTCCTGTCTGCAACCCCCCGTCTCCCCAGACAGGAGGTAGGATGGCGGGCAAGCTTGTTCTGTGAGCGGGGGCTGGCCTGGGCGTCCAGTGGCCTCTGCCTTCCTGGCCCTCCATAGCTCCCTCTCTCAGCCTGGACTGGACCCCTAGGCTCTGGGCAAAGCATGCAAGGGATTCTGGGTAATCCCCTCAGTGCCTCTGAGTGGGAGATTGGCTGGGCTCTGGGGGTGGCGGACCTCCCAGGCACTGCCCGGGGCATAGACCTCACAGGCTCCTAGCCGCTCAGGCCTGGCTTGCTGCAGGAGCGGGAGCAGGGCTGGGACCAATTACTGAGTCCCTAGGGACAGGACTTCCCTGCTCCTAGACGGCGGGAGCAGGGTCCCCATCAGTTACGGGTCCAGGTGGAGAGGTCTCTGGTCTCCTGACTCCCGGGCTTTGGATCCAGGCCACCCAGTTCAGGCCTTGCCTTGTGGTCCTGGAGACCAGGGCTCAGGCCTGGCCCAGATCCTCCTATTCATCCTTGAAGCTGCCCCAAAGGCTTGATGGGGGTGGGGAGGCCACCCGATGGCTATAACCAAGTGGGCACACTCCCTGTGTGCATGCATGACTCGCCCAGCAGCAGGCCTAATCCTGGGGGTGGCTGGAGCTCAGGCTTGGGGTGGCTGGCTTGTCCAGCACATACCTTCCTGCTCTCAGTCCTGGTGTGCAGAGAGCTATGGGGGTGCGAGGGAGCTAGCATGGTGCTCACACTCACAGGGCAGTGTCTCAGGAGTGCTGGGGTCAGGGCACGATTTGCCACTGTCACTGTCATGGGGACCTGGAAGTCCTGGTTAGAGCTGGGTGGTCTAGGAACTTAGGGTCAGTGTGCTCATGGGGGTGCTTGTGGGGCATGTGGGAGAATGGCACTCCTGCAGGTCCCAGGGCTGTGCTGCTGGGGTTGGGTCTGCCCCTGAGTGCTTCAGACTAGCAGGACCAAGTGGGTGGGGGGCTTCTCTGGGTTGAAGGGGACTTGTGACTTGGGGGGGGGCACCAAATGTAGCCTGTGTGAGGAGTCTTCTGTGATGGTGGCCTCATGGGGGGGCAAATGGGCTGTGGCCGATCCTGATAGATCACTTTTGTGGATGTCCCAGGTGTTGGGGTCCGGCAGGGGCGCTGTGCTGGATGAGAGCTGGGGTCCGAAGCAGGGCGATCCCTGGGGCATTGTGGCCATGGCTATTCTCCAGTGTCCTGCATTCTGTGTGGGCCTCTCTTGGTGCTCAGCGGGGGCTCCGTGGGAACCAGGCGGGGGGGCAGGGGGAGCCCCCAGGCTGCTCTCCGTTTCCATAGCAACAGCAGGGAGGAGCCAGGAAACACCAGCTCAGGAAGGAAGGCCACAGCTGCGAGGAGAGAGCGGAGGGCCAGCTTGGCTGAGCAGGCGCCAGACACTCTGTCTGTCCAGTTGTCCGGCACAGCTAGCCTGCCAGGCCCATTGCTCTGCCCTTGGCTCCGCCCCCATGCCAGTCAGTCCAGGCTCAGGCAGCCGCTGGGAAGGCGTCTTTGCTTAGACCTCGGCGCCCCAGATTCGGGTAATACAGGAGTGGTGCCCTGGTTCTCTGGAGACTCTTGATGGGACAGAGATGGTCTCTCTGTGTGCCCTGCCTGGGGGTCTGTGTGTTGACACACCTGGTATCCTGAGCCTCCACCCTGTGTCTGCCCTGCCCTGGGCTGGCCCAGCCCCTCATCTCTCCTGCCAGGCTCCGATGACAGTCCTCATTTGCCCTGGGAAGCATGGAAGGAGAAGCCAAGCCCTCCAGGTGGTCACTGGCTCCCGGGGCCTTGTGGGCAGTGCCACTGTGTGTTTCTTTTCTACTGAAGCCCTGGCCTTGGGAACAAATGGCTCTGATGGTCCAACCGATTGTGTCTGCCAGCTGGGCTAGGAGGCAGGCCTGTGTCTTGGGGACTAGCTGCCCCTTCTCTCTCAGGCTCAGGAGTCACCCATCCATCCACCCATTGGTCACTGACCCACCTGAACAGGTCAAGCCCTATTCCAGGAGATAGTGGTGTAGCCGTGAACAAAACAGACCCAAGCGCTGCTTGTGGGGAGTTTCCGTTCTGTCGGACCGACAGGCAAATCAACAAATCCACAAAAAGTCAGAATCCAGGGTGCTAGGCTGTGGAGGAGAGAGGGTCTGTGTCAGGGTGCTCACTGCCTGTCCGTTTAGGAGGGGACTGTGGAGCCAACCCTGAAGAGTACGTGAACTCAATGAAGGGACACATGGGGAAGAGTGTTCTGTGTGGAGGAAATAGTATGTGCAAAGGCCCTGGGGCAGGCATGTGCTGGAGAGGGGACCAGGGCTGTGGGAGGCCTGGAGAGTCTTGCTTCCTTCTCTGAAGAAGACATGGGGGCTTGGGAAAGTTTTGAGCAGAGGAACAGTGTGACAGGACTTAGCTCTCCACTCCACGCTGTTGTGTGGAGGTGGCCCAGTGCAGGCAGAAGGAAGTACTCACCACCTTTCCACCCGCAGAGAAGGCAGGGGTCGCTCGGGGAATGGGGCCTGGCTCCTGGGCCCCCTGGTCTGCTGTCCCAAAGGAATTTCCTTTGTCTCTCTCCCCCAGGGCAGGGCTGGTGTGCCTGGACCCCTGGGAGGCACTGCCTTGGGGACCCCTGTGAGTTAGACCTTCTGCTTTCATCAGGGCCCCTGACCCTGCTGCTGCTGGGGCCCCTGGGGAGGGGGAGGGTGGAGTGGCCGCCAGCTTGGCGGGCTGGCAGGGCAGGGAGGGCGGTGTTTCTGGGAATTGTGTGGGGGAAGCACATTGTTAGAAGAGCCTGGAGCAGGCCGCCAGGGCCTCTGCTGCTGGCCTCTGGGGGGTGCCTCCTGCCTCCCCAAAGTCCTGCTTCTGGGGGAGGGAGCTGGGCCTGGGCCAATCCCTGGGAGGGGCTGGGACTTTCCAGGAGAGGCTGCTGGGGGCGGTGCTTCTTCCCATTCTGCAGACCAGGAGACTGAGGCCCAGAGAGAGCACTGGCCAGATGAGATGTGCACTGGCATGCAGGATAGAGGACTCAGGCTGGACTTGGTCCCTGGTCACCACCCTGCCTGAGCTCAGAGGCCAGGACCTGAGGGAGGCCTGAATGGGACTGGCTGGGGTCAGAGCCCTGTAGCCCACGGATGGGCTGGAGGGCCTGATGGAATAAGGTGCAGAAACAGCTGGGCACCGGGGTCAGGGAAGCACTGCCCACAGCACGGCAGAGGGAGTGGAGGTTTCTGGGACTGCGGCATCTCCCTGCCCGACCCATGTGGCCATGGGAAAGGGGAGGGGGCTCCGTGTGAGTTTGGCAGCACTGGGCTTCCCACTGAGGCCCCTGCCCCAGCCAGAAGGGAAGTAGGATTCGACCTGCGGGGGTCATGGCCGGCTCTGGACGGGCAAGCGTGGGGACACAAATAGAAAAATAAATGGCCTGAGCTTCCGATGTTTCCGTGGTCTGAGGATGGGGGAAGGACAGGCCTCTGGGCCAATAGTGCAGCCTGTCTGTGTGCGATGGGCCTTGAAGTGTTCTTGGGGTGTCCCCAGGCCGCTGTCAGGGCTGCATCTGCCCACAGAGCCCCCGGGACAGGCCAGGCTCCCCACAGAGTAGGGCCCCTGTGGGCAGACGCATAAGTCTCTCACCATAAAGGGGTCAAGTGTGCAAGACCCCTGCAAGATGGGACACAACCTCCATGTGACTTGGGTTGTGTGCCAACATCCCAGATACAGCAAAAGGATGTGGGGTCTGGGGCCCCAGTGAGTACCCTGCTCTGGGTACAGCCAGGTTCACTTCATGATGCCGAGGTCACCCTGCAGGCACAGCTTTCTGGGGAGGGGAGGAGATGGGGTGTGGGAGGATCTTGGGGCCCAGGAAGCTTGCTGGGGGAAATCCCTTGGAGGAGGAAGTTCCCAAGATTCAGTAGGGTCCACGGGGTCTTGGGTGGACGGTGACTGTCCTGTGAAAGGTTCTAGGGGTCATGAACAACGGGACCAGGGACTTCTAGGATGGAGAGTCAGGGGTTTGGGGGTCAGTCAGTCACTACTACTCCAGCTTGAGCCCTGGCCAGAGTGGGACTCACCCACACAACCCACAGATGAGGGTCTCTCTCCAGGACTAACCACAGTCTCACCTGGGCTGCTTCATGGTTGTGGCCAGAACCAACTGGACCTCCTGGCCTGGCAGGGGTCGGGGTGGAGGGGCCTGGCCCACAGGCCATCTGTGGCTCACTCCCGCCACCTAGAGGCCTCTGCTCATCGTGGGGCCTGTAGGCCACAAGACAGTTCCAGGCCTGGACCCTCCATGGGGTCACACTCCTCCCCCTGTGGTGGTGGCTTCCATATGGGACTGCACCTTTTCAGGGTTCAGGGCTCCCGTCATGGGGCAAAGGGCTGTGGTCCCCAGGTCCAGCAGGAAAGCTCCCACCTCCCCTGTCACCCACCCCCACTTGCCTGTCCACTCTTTCCAATCACCCACCCTCCTCCCACACCTCCTGATCACTGGCGTCTTGGTCTCCCTTTGTCCACAGCCTTGGTGGCCTAGTCAAGAGCCTCTGAGACATGCCTGGCTCCTCATGAGCTGTCTCTGGTCCTTGCCAGAGGTAGTAGGAGGAGGGCCCGAGGTGGGCCATCTGGGTTTTCCTCTCTGGCTGAGCTGGGGTAGGGCCCTTGTGCTCAGCTGACAGTCCCTTCTTGTCTCCCTGTCCCAAAGTAAGAGCCCGGGGTTACCATGGAAACAATTACACTGAAAGACAGCAAATTATTTTCTAAAATGTGGGCTATAGAACCCAAGCACTTCTTTATTACAGCAGTTCAGGGCGGCAGTGAGCGTGGCAGGATGCTGGGGGCATCAGCACAATGGCTGAGACATGAAGGGGCTCTAGTTTGTGCTGTGGTCAGTTGGCCCTGCTGTGACATGTTCATGGCTTCATTCGTAACTGAAGGGACAGTACGCATCCCTTGGAGAGCAATGCAGAGGCGACTGGGAGCCTTTCCTATGGGGTTTCTTTTCTGCCAGGGGATGGCCTCTGACTCCCAGGTTGAGACCCTGTCCTATTCTCCCTCCCACCTGACCCAGTCTCCCTCTTCAGCTCACAGACCTGCCCTGTTTCCATCTCCTCCATGCCCCTGGTTGGCCCCTGACTTGTGGTCACCCCTGTCCCTTTTAGCAGCTTGGATATGGTCAATGGCTGGGGGACAAACTCCAAACCCCTGTAATACAGCCCCCAATCCCTCAAGTCTCTGCCCTCCTCTGGGTGGCCCAATGTTCAGTATCCACCCAGCTGGCTGGGAGGCCTGTGCCTCTGCCATTTGAGGGCAAAGGACAAAACCCCCAGACCCCACCCACCCTGGGGGGATAAGGGGCAAGGCTCTTCCTTCTTAACCAGCTCAGAGGTCATTCTTGAGTCTTTGTGGCTTAAAACGTTCAGCCCAGCCGCACATTGGAAGCCTCCCTCACTCAAAGCCTGGCACTGAATGGGGTTAGGCCGGTGCCAGGGGCCTTGAAGACATGGGTAGGGCCCTCCCTCTGGACATGCTGAGCTCAGCCATGGCTTCTGACAAACCTGGAACACAGGGGAGAGAGTGTCAACCCATATGGTCAGCATACAGCAAAGCACTGCAGATGTATGTCTGACAAACAGCTTCTGGTCCCTAACACTAGAGTCACAAGGAGAGGATCAAGAAAGGCCTCTCAGAAGCATCGCCTGTGCTGTCAAGAAGGGTTCATGCCAGAGAGCAACTCAACCTTAGCAGAGGCACCAGTTGGGGCAGGGTTTGGGCCATCACTGTTAGGGAGCCAGCCTCGAGGCCAGACACCATCTGATTTCTCCCCAGGACAAACCAGGATAAAGTGCTGGGGATTAAGCAAAATGGCTGTTTGAGGAGGCCTTACAAATAGCTGTGAAAAGAAGAGAAGCAAAAAGCAAAGGAGAAAAGAAAAGATATACCCATTTGAATGCAGAGTCCCAAAGAATAGCAAGGAGAGATAAGAAAGCCTTCCTCAGTGATCAGTGCAAAGAAATAGAGGAAGACAATAGAATGGGAAAGACTAGAGATCTCTTCAAGAAAATTAGAGATACCAAGGGAACATTTCATGCAAAAATGGGCACAATAAAGGACAGAAATGGTATGGACCTAACAGAAGCAGCAGATGTTAAGAGGTGGCAAGAATACACAGAAGAAGTATACAAAAAAGATCTTCACAACCCAGATAATCACGATGGTATGATCACTCACCTAGACCCAGACATCCTGGAATGTGAAGTCAAGTGGGCCTTAGGAAGCATCACTACGAACAAAGCTAGCTGTGGTGATGGAATTCCAGTTGAGCTATCTCAAATCCTAAAAGATGATGCTGTGAAAGTGCTGCACTCAATATGCCAGCAAATTTGGTAAACTCAGCAGTGGCCACATGACTGGAAAAGGTCAGTTTTCATTCCAATCCCCAAAAAAGGCAATGCCAAAGAATGCTCAAGTTTAGTTCAGTTCAGTCGCTCAGTCGTGTCTGACTCTTTGCGACCCCAGGAACCGCAGCATGCCAGGCCTCCTTGTCCATCACCAACTCCCAGAGTTTACCCAAGCTCATGTCCATTGAGTCGGTGATGCCATTCAACCCTCTCATCCTCTGTCGTCCCCTTCTCCTCCCACCCTCAATTTTTCCCAGCATTAGGGTCTTTTCAGATGAGTCAGTTCTTCACATCAAGTGGCCAAAGTATTGGAGTTTCAGCTTCAACATCAAGAGTGCTCAAACTACTGCACAATTGCACTCATCTCACATTCTACTAAAGTAATGCTCAAAATTCTCCAAGCCAGGCTTCACCAGTACGTGAACCGTGAACTTCCAGATGTTCAAGCTGGATTTAGAAAAGGTAGAGAACCAGAGATCAAATTGCCAACATCCGTTGGATCATCAAAAAAGCAAGAGAGTTCCAGAAAACATCTATTTCTGCATTATTGACTATGCCAAAGCCTTTGACTGTGTGGATCACAACAAACTGTGGAAAATTCTTCAAAAGATGGGAATACCAGACCACCTGACCTGCCTCTTGAGAAATCTGTATGCAGGTCAGGAAGCAACAGTTAGAACTGGACATGGAACAACAGACTGGTTCCAAATAGGGAAAGGAGTATGTCAAGGCTGTATATTGTCACCCTGCTTATTTAACTTATATGCAGAGTGCATTATGAGAAATGCTGGGCTGGATGAAACACAAGCTGTAATGAAGATTGCTGGGAGAAATATCAATAACCTCAGATATGCAGATGACACTGCCCTTATGGCAGAAAGTGAAGAACTAAAGAGCCTCTTGATGAAAGTGAAAGAGGAGTGTGAAAAAGTTGGCTTAAAACTCAACATTCAGGACGGTCCAGCACCTGAGTCCTGACCTCGCTCCTTCCTCTTGAACAAACATCATGAGCTTCAGCGCCCAATCCACCTTCTCCAACTACCGGTCCCTGGGCTCCGTGCAGTCGTCGGGCCACCGGGTCCGACTGGTCAGCAGCGCGGCCAGCGTCTATGCCGGCGCCGGGGGCTCGGGCTCCCGGATCTCCGTGTCCCGCTCCACCAGCGTCCGGGGCGGCTGGGGGTCCGGGAACCTGGGCGCCGGGATGGCCGGGGGTCTGGTGGGTGTGGGGGGCATCCAGGGAGAGAAGGAGACCATGCAAGACCTGAATGACCGCCTGGCCTCCTACCTGGAGAAGGTGAGGAGCCTGGAGGCTGATAACCGGAGACTGGAGAGCAAAATCCGGGAACATCTGGAGAAGAAGGGACCCCAGGTCAGAGACTGGGGGCATTACCTGAAGATCATCGAGGACCTGAGGGCTCAGATTTTTGCAAATTCTGTGGACAATGCCCGCATCGTTCTGCAGATTGACAATGCCCGTCTTGCTGCTGATGACTTCAGAGTCAAGTATGAGACGGAGCTGGCCATGCGCCAGTCTGTGGAGAATGACATACACGGGCTCCGCAAGGTCATTGATGACACCAGTGTCACCCGGCTGCAGCTGGAGACTGAGATCGAGGCTCTCAAGGAGGAGCTGCTCTTCATGAAGAAGAACCATGAGGAGGAAGTAAAGGGTCTACAAAACCAGATTGCCAACTCTGGGCTGACTGTGGAGTTGGATGCCCCCAAACCTCAGGACCTCAGCAAGATCATGGCAGATATCCAGGCCCAGTATGATGAGCTGGCTCAGAAGAACCGAGAGGAGCTGGACAAGTACTGGTCCCAGCAGACTGAGGAGAGCACCACAGTGGTCACCTCGCAGACCGCTGAGATAGGAGCTGCTGAGATGACCCTCACAGAGCTGAGGCGCACCGTCCAGTCCCTGGAGATCGACCTGGATTCCATGAGAAACCTGAAGGCCAGCTTGGAGAACAGCCTGAGGGAAGTGGAGGCCCGCTATGCCATGCAGATGGAGCAGCTCAACGGAGTCCTCCTGCACCTGGAGTCAGAGCTGGCCCAGACCCGGGCAGAGGGGCAACGCCAGACCCAGGAGTACGAGGCCCTGCTGAATGTCAAGGTCAAGCTGGAGGCTGAGATCAATACCTACCGCCGCCTGCTGGAAGATGGGGAGGATTTCAGCCTTGGCGACGCTCTGGACAGCAGCAACTCCAGGCAAACCATCCATAAGACCACCACCCTCCGGCTCGTGGATGGCAAAGTGGTGTCTGAGACCTCAGACACCAAAGTTCTGAGGCACTGAGGCAGCAGAAGCAGGATCCCTTGGGGAGCAGGGAGTCAATAAAAGTTGAGACGTTATTGCATAAAAAAAAAAAAACAAAAAAAACAAAAAAACTCAACATTCAGGAAACGTGAGATCATGGCATCTGGTTCCATCACTTCATGGCAAATAGATGGGGAACCAGTGAGAGACTTTATTTTTTTGGGCTCCCAAATCATTGCAGATGGTGGCTGCAGCCATGAAATTAAAAGATGCTTACTCCTTGAAAGAAAAGTTAGGACCAACCTAGACAGCATATTAAAAAGCAGAGACATTACTTTGCCAACAAAGGTCCGTCTAGTCAAAGCTATGGTTTTTCTAGTAGTGATGTATGGATGTGAGAGTTGGACTATAAAGAAAGCTGAGCACTGAAGAATTGATGCTTTTGAACTGTGGTGTTGGAGAAAACTCTTGAGAGTCCCTTGACTGCAAGGAGATCAAACCGGTCAATCCTAAAGGAAATCAGTCCTGAATATTCATTGGAAGGACTGATGCTGAAACTGAAATTCCAATACTTTGGCCACCCGATGTGAAGAACTGACTCACTTGAAAAGACCCTGATGCTGGGAAAGATTGAAGGCAGGAGAAGGGGACGACAGAGGATGAGATGGTTGGATGGCATCACCGACTCAATGGACATGAGTTTGAGTAAACTCCGGGAGTTGGTGATGGACAGGGAGGCTGCCGTGCTGCAGTCCATTGGGTCGCAAAGAGTCGGACAGGACTGAGCGACTGAACTGATTGACTGAGGCCTCCAGGGTTCCCGAGACCACAATTCTAGCCAGAGCGCTCAGGGGGTCCACGCAGGACTGGGATCGGGCAGTGGGCCCTGGACTGAAGAAGGTGGCGAAGGAGGGCTCAAGGGGTGGGGAGGGGACCGACCCCAGCGTGCCTTAGCGGCTTCTTGCAGTCGGACCCGGGTCGCCCCCGCGCGGTGTCTGGAGGAAAGTGCAGCGTTCGGAGATGCGGCCCTTACGCACGGCCGGGTCCCGCGCTGCCGCAGCGCCCTCCGTCGACTAACCGGCCAGCGCGTGTGCTAGTGAGACTGAGTCCTCCTGTCCCGCAGGCCTCGGGCGGCGGCCTGCGTCAAAACTACACTTCCCTGGATGCCTTGCGCGCCTACCTGGCTCCTGGGAGTTGTGGTCGGGAGCGGGGCGGGCTCGCGCAGGGTGCGCGGGAGCGGGAACTACATGTCCCAAGATGCAGCGGGGCGTCGCGGGGGCCGGGGGTTTGAACGGAGGGTCTCCCGCCCGTGGCGGGGCTGCGTCTACTGCGGAGGGTGCGGGAGGCTGCGGCGGTCGTGGCCGGGGTCCGGGCCGGGAGGCTGAGGCTGGCACGGCGGGCGCTGGGGGCGCTGCCCCCGAGGCGATGATGGGCAAGGAGGAGGAGATAGCGCGGATCGCCCGGAGGCTGGACAAGATGGTGACCAAGAAGAGCGCGGTGAGGGGCGCGGGCCGTCAGGACCCCGGGACCCCCGCCCCGCCGAGCCCCCGCCGAGCCTGCCGAGGCCCCGTCAGGGTCGCGGTGACCATTCGAAGGGCAGGACGAGGCTCCGCCCTGGCAGAGACTCTCAGGACGCGGGGAGACCCCCGCCAGAGGCCGAGACCCCCATTCTGGGCCAGCCCTACCCTTCACCTCGCACCCACGGCAGAGGCCGCGATCCGACCTGGACCTTGTCCCGGGAACCACCCGCTTTGGACTCAGACCCCAACTGTCAGGCTGAGACCCCGCAGGCCTGGGATTCGCCCGCTTCTACCCCTCACTCCAGACCCCCTCGGGAGGCCGGGCTGGCGGAGACCCTCCTCGGCCCCGCCCCTCCAGGCCTCGCTGAAGTCCGGGCCTGTACAGCCCTGACTGGCCGCCCGCCGCCTTGGCCTTTCTCCTCCCCATCCTGGGCATCCTCGCAGTCCCCCAGAACTCCCCGCCAAGGCCCACCCCGACTCAGAGCCCTCTGTCCCACCTTAGGTCTCCCACATCCTTTCTCCGCCTTCAAGAGTTTGGAGTGTGAGATTGGACCCCTTGTTCCCTGGAGCTGTGGCGCCTCCCCTGCCTCTGCCTGGTCTGGGGCTGCGGTGGCCCCGACGTCTCATTTCTCCAGCCAGCCGGCCAGAGGGCTTTCTTGGGTGGGAAGGCCTTTTCTTTCCTTGTCTGTTCAGTCGCCCAAGAACCAGGGTGCCCTAATAAATTCTTTCCCTTCCATAGCCATGGCTCAGCCAGCAGCTCCTGGGGAGTGGGTAAATGCGTAGGCACCTCTGGAAAGAGCCCTAGGAGGCCCTGAGCCTGCCCTGGGAATCACGGGGCGGCGGACTCTAGCCGGCCATGCTCGCTGTGGGGCTGGTCCTCCCTTGTCCCTAGGCCAGTGAACCTTTGGGAAAAACTGAGCCGGGACTCAGGGCAGCTAGCAGATGGGCCTCCAGTTCCAGGCCCCTCTCAGTTTTGGGCCTAGGTGACCTGCCTATGGTCACAGGAAGCATCTTTGGTGGGTGGTACCTGCCTCTAGGGGTGGAGGGGGTCCTGCTGCTCCTAGAGAGGCTCAATAAACAAAACCTGCTCTCTCCCCAGGCTCAGCTCTTGGGGTGGGCAAGTGGTGGTGGGAGTTGTGGGGGAGGTTCACCTCGGGGCTTAAGATGCCTGCCCAACCACCCCAGGGCTGTGTGCCTTCACTGGTGGTTTGGGGCTGGCTTTTGGGCTGAGCATGGTTGAGTCGGTCTTTGGACAGGGTTCTCCACCCAGGCTGTGAAGGGGGCTGGTTCCCATGCTATCATTCATCCATCAAGCAACAACACTGCCTCATCCCCAAACCCTGCATAATGTTCTCACCCCTGGGAGGTGGTGGGCAGCCCAGAGCAGGGATGTGGGAACATCTATGGATGTTTCCAGAGATGCCAAGAGAAAAAAGTTGCTTTCCCCAGAGGAGACGAAACAAATGCCCCCCAGGTCGGGGCAGAGATGGGTCATGGGACCCATGGAGGACTGGGTGGGGCCAGGCAGGACTAGAGGAGGGGACACCTAGGTGGTGCACCGCGTGGATGGCAGCCCAGGGGAATATGAGGAAGGGGGACAGATGTGGACTGGGAAGGGCGTGAGGAGGTTTGAGGCACCATGGACTGGTGAGTGAGAGCCAGCAGAGACTTCTGGTGGGTCCTAGTGCCTTCAAGGCCCTTTGAGGAGCAGGGGGTCACAACTGGGAATCCTGTTTTATGCCTCCCTGGTCTGGAGGCATCAGCAAGCTGGTCTCCTGCAGCCTGGGGCTCCATTTTGGGGAAGACGATTGCTGAGTTGCACTGTGCTCTTGTCTCTGGTGACCATTTGTCCCCTGTGAGGAGCTTATCACGGGGCTGGACTCTGCAGGGGTGATGAGGGGGAGGCTGCAGCCTGAGCAGAGATGCCATCCAGACTGGGGAGGCGCAGGCTGTGCCCCTCCCACAGCTAGGCTGCCTTGGGTGGCTGCCTCCCCCACGTCCTCAGAGAGACACACACACGTGAAATCTCACTGGTGGCTTGCCTGAGGCTTCTGTGGAGGAAGGCAAAGCCCAGAGCGGGTGGGGTGGTGCAAGGCCTCCCCCTCACTACAGAGCTCTACAAGGAGATGGGGGCAGGTGTGTGGCTGGTGGTGGAAGCAGCAGGGCCAGAGGTCCTAAAGGGCCCCAGGGAGCTGTCTGCCATGGCGTCATGTGGCTTATGTGTGTGTGCCCTGGAAGAAGCAGACGTGGGCGAGAGTGCTGGTCAGAGAAGGGAGACAGGGCTCTGTTGGCCCAGGCGAGGTGACACGGCTGGAGGGAGTGAGTAGGGTGTGGGGATTCATGTGAGGAGAGCAGAGTGCCCTGAGGTCTTAGCCTCGGCAAGGGGCACTGAGGAGAGGCTGCCAGAGTTACGTTGGTAGGGGACATGGGACCAGGCAGGAGTGGGCACTTCTCAGGGCTGTGTTTCTTCCTGGTGTGGTGCCCCTGCCAGGGAGGGCTGTGGCCCTTTCCCCTGTTGGCCCTGCGGTGGTGGGTTGGGATTAAGTGCAAAGCCGCTTCCCTTATTGTGCCTGCGTTCCCGGGGCATCTGACCCAGGTGGATCTCCAAATTGTCACTGCCTGTGTTTGTTCCCCCAACCCTCATGTGTAGGATGAGGTGGGCTCGCCCACCAAGAGCTGAGAGTCATTTATGTGGGTCCTCCCTTCTTCCAGGAGGGAGCCATGGACCTGCTGCGGGAGCTGAAGGCCATGCCTGTCACACTGCATCTGCTGCAGGTAGGGCCCCGTGAGCCCCCCAGCTCCCAGCATCTGGCAGGGCTTCCTGCCCCCGCCCTACCCTTGGTTGGCATGAATCCTTGCCCCTGAGGAAATGGTCCCTGCCTTTCTCTGTTGCTTCATGAGATAGGAATGGGCATTCAAGAGAAACCAATGGTGTCTCTCACTGAGGCTTGTGCAGATGGAACAGTCACCCTCAGGAAGGGCGCCCCCTCCCCTCACTGGTCCCCAGCCTTGCCCTGTGGGAGTCACCGTGGGTCTGTGGGGAGGGTTTGCCCGCTGCCCCCAGCCTGGCCACTTGCCTTGCAGTCCACCCGTGTTGGCATGTCCGTCAATGCCCTGCGGAAGCAGAGCTCGGACGAGGAGGTCGTCACACTAGCCAAGTCCCTCATCAAGTCCTGGAAGAAGCTCCTGGGTATGGGTCAAGCAGCCTGGGCTGAGTTCGGGGGCAAGAGGCACCCAAGACTCTGGCCCCTCGCTGGATAGCACTGGGTAGGGTGCTGGCTGTGCTGTCCTGGAGCAGGGAGTGACCAGTCTAGGAAGCACCAGGAGGAGAGGGGCTCCATGAGGAGGGAGGGGAGAGGTGGAGGGGGGCTGCTCTGAGCCCTGGAGGGGGACCTGACAGATCTGGGGGAGTTCACGTGGGAAAGTGTCAGGGCAGCCAGGGGGCAGCGTCGGACCTGAGGGAGGAGACCTTGGAGGGGAGGTGGAGGAGGAACAGGTAGGAAGGACATGGGGTTAAGAGGAGGAGGATGGGGAGTGGTCTGCAGCCACTCAGAGGAAGTGGGGCTGTGGGGTGACAGGGATGCCACCACTGGACCCCGAGGTGCCCCTCCCTTCCCAGCTCCTCCTGGGCTCTGTCCAAACCCTCAGAAAAGAGAGCTGCATGTCCTGGGCTCCATCTCTGGGGTCTGTCACTCTGCGGAGAGTTGCTGTACTCAGGAGGCCTTTCCCGGATCTTCCTTGGCTGGGGAGAGAGGACTCTGGTCGTTAGCAGGAAGCTGGGGTTGGAGGCAGGGTCCGAGGGCTGGGGCTGTGCCTTGGTGGTGGTCTGCCCCCCTCGCTGGCTCTGCGCTGCCCTCTTGGTCTGCCTTCTCCCGGCCAGCCCTTCCTTCTTTCTTGGCACCTGTAGATGCTTCAGACGCCAAAGCCAGGGAGCGGAGAAGGGGCGGGTCTCTGCCCACGTCATCCTCCAAGGAGGCCTCCGAGGCCCAGGACCCCAGGTAGCGCTTCCAGAAGGCACATGCCTCCCCTTCATGGCCCTGCTTTCTCGGCAGACCAAGGTGCTGAGTTCTGGGAGCCCTGGGGTGGGGGAGCTGAGGTCCCCCAAACACATTGGTCCTTCCTGCTTCTTGGAAGGGACTCTCCCTGGGGTTAGCCTCTTGCTGCACACTGATCCCCTAGAGACTCCTCTGGGTCTTTTCAGACCCCAGCATCTGAGGGGAGGCCGAGTCTGCCTGGCTGCACACGGCTGACACACACCCTGAGCAGCCCTGGGGGAGCCTGCTGCTCTCATCCCCATCTCCAGGCCCAGTCCAGGGGTGGTTCTCACTGGCCAGTTCTGGATATCCCCCTTGGCCTGGTGTCTGTTGATGCCGGTCCCTCCTTCCCTGGGGATGCCCCAGCCTGTGGTGTGATGCAGGTTCTGGAGCCATGAGGCCTCTCTGCCACCCTGGTGATGGCTGTGGCTGAGAGGCAGCTGTGCTCTTGACCTCACTGGGCAGCAGTGGCCAAGGGCCAGGAAAAGCTGACCCTGAATCCATGGCATGGCCTTGTAGAGACATGGGCTTATCCGCCCACCTGCATGTGTTGTTTTTCCTCCAGGAAGCTGCCTGCTTCCACTGACTTCCATGGAGATCATGGGGTCACGAGATGTAAGGGTGTGAGAGGAGGGCTGGCTGGATACAGGGGGTACCCAGACCTGCGAGGGGTAGGGCTGCCTGTGTAGTGGTACCAGGTCTTGGATGACCCCTAGACCCACCTGGCAGTCTGCATTGGGCACTGTGGCCCCATGTTACAGGCCTCCCTGAGGCAGAGACCCCATCTGGGATTGTGCCCCACCCAGTGAGCCTCACTGCCTCTGGCTGGACTGCATGGACACGCTGGAGCTGACTGCAGATGGGCAGGGTTGTGGGCTGCTGTCAGAGTGGAGCAGATGAGGTCTGGGGGCATCGTGACTGTGACGTTGGCTTTTCTGGGGACCGCATCTCATGGGGGTGCATGTGGCCCGAGCGGGCCTCTCTCCAGCCACAAGAGGCCAGAGCTGCCCAGGACACCCTCGACACCAAGGATCACCACGTTTCCCCCGGTGCCAGTCACCTGTGACGCTGTGCGAACCAAGTGTCGTGAGATGCTGACCGCTGCCCTGCAGACAGACCGTGAGTGCTTGGGTTGGGGCCATGCAGCAGACCTCAGGGTCCTGGCTCCTGACACACATTCCATTCCCAGGCCTGGGCCCTGCCTGCCTGCAGAGGCTTGAATCCAACTGGTTGCTGCTGCCCTTGGGGGCGGGGATCCCACACAGGTTGAGGCGTGGGGGGTGGAGCTGGCAGGCAATTGACCAGGGCTCCTTCTTACAGATGACCACGTGGCCATTGGTGCAGACTGTGAGTGCCTGGCGGGTCAGATCGAAGAATATATCCTTTGTATGGGGGCTGGGCGCTGGGTGGGCTGAAGTTTCTGGGGGTTGCAGGGTTAAGGCCCAGTTCCCTTGGCGGCCACTGTGTGGTCCCCTGGACAGGGAGTTGGGCAGTCAGGGGCCCTCCTAGACCCTATGGGGTCCGACCGCGCCTGCAGTGGACTTGGGTCCCAGACCCTGCGCCTGCAGTTGGGCCTCAGCCAGGAATATGTCAGTGTCTGGAACCCGTGTTGCTGGCTTTTCTGACACAGTCCCCACAGAATGGCCCTCACTATCCCAGGGATGGGTTGGAGGGCAGGGCATTGGCCTTGGCACAGGTCCTTAAATGCCCGCACGTATCTTCCGGGACGTGGGAAACACAGACATGAAGTACAAGAACCGCGTGCGGAGCCGCCTCTCCAACCTCAAGGATGCCAAGAACCCCGGCCTGCGGCGCAATGTGCTGTGTGGTGCCATCACACCCCAGCAGATCGCTGTCATGACCTCAGAGGTGAGCCTACCAGGGGCGCAGGGGGTTGCCCCTGGGGGGCCGCAGGCTAAGCATGTGCCCCTTGCCCTAGGAGATGGCTAGCGATGAGCTGAAGGAGATCCGCAAGGCCATGACCAAGGAGGCCATCCGCGAGCACCAGATGGCGCGCACAGGTGGCACACAGACGGACCTGTTTACCTGCGGCAAGTGCAGAAAGAAGAACTGCACCTACACACAGGTAAGCGCTGGCCGCCTCTGGGGCCCCACCCTGCCCTTCCTCTGACAGCTGGGTCCCACTTGCGTGGCCGTACGTGGGGTGCGTTGTGTGAGAGATGCTGAGGTTTGGGTCTGACTTTAGCCTCCGATGGGGCTGGAAGTTGCTGTCACCCTTGGGGCCTCCTCCTTGCCGAGGTCCCCCGTAAGCAGCCTTTGGTGGTGGGTATAGTGTGCTCTGGGTCACTAAAGTTGGGGGGGGCCTGGCCCAACTGGCAGGAGGATGGGTGCCCGGTAGTGGCAGTGGGAATACACTGAGTCATGGAGGTAGGCACTGATGGGGCCCCAAGAGATGTCAGGGGGCCCTGTAAGCAGAAAGCAGTTGGGGTGGCCCCAAGGTTGGGATTGCTGGGTAGGCTCAGCCCAGGTCATCCAAGAGGGCCAAGGTGTCATGAGGCCAGTCCTGCCTGAGGATGTAGCAGGTGCTCCCCAGGTTGTGACTCCAGGGAAGTCCAGCTCCCAGGGGCCTCAAGCTGCCAGTGACTGAGGCCCTGGGGCTGGGTACCCCGCCATCACGGCCCTTCCGACAGGTGCAGACCCGCAGCTCTGATGAGCCCATGACCACCTTCGTTGTCTGCAACGAGTGTGGGAACCGCTGGAAGGTAGGGGTGAGCCCAGGCCGCCCTGTTTTTGGAGGTGGTGGTCTGAAGTGTGAAATTGGGGATGGCCATGCCAGCTAGGCTCTCGGGAGCTGTGACGGTGGTGGATGGAGACCCCAGCCCTGCCTCCTGCCCTCTGGGGTCCTGCAGGCCACATGGCAGCTGCCTCTTGTCTTTCTTACAGTTCTGCTGAGCCCTTGTGCACGTGTGCCTGCAGCCTTGGGCCATGGCCTCTGCTGGCCAGTGCCCTTTCCCCATCCTCTGCCGACAGATACAGACACAGCTTCTTGGAAACCTGCCCTCAGAAGGCAGCACACCCTGCCCCCTGTCCTACCTGCAGCGCACCTTTCCCCTCAAATCATTAAATGTTTCTTTTTGCCACTGTTTTGTCCCTAGCCATTGGTCCTGGTGGGCCATGCACAAGCTTGGGCTTCAAGCTGGGTCCCCATCCCCACTTCTGGTCTGTCATCCCATCCCCCCCACTGCTGTGGGAACAGGCCATCTTCCTGGGACCAGGTGACACAGGCTTGACCCGGTGGGACAGCCCTGGAGCGAAGAGCCAGTGTGTGCCCATGGGGGGCAGGGCTGGGCATGCATAGCATGAATGTCTGGTGGGAGGGGCCTTGGGTGCACAGAGGACCCAGGGTCTCATGACCTCTCCAGGTACTGCAGCTCAGGGTCCAGGGATCATGCAGGGAGGTGAAATCTGGGCCCACAGCTGTGCCTGCCTGCAACCCTTCAGGATGTCCCTGCCCCACTGCTCGTGGAGGCAGTGTGAATGGGGGTGGACCCCTGATGGGGGTCCTGGGCCCCAGTGCAGCTCTGAATTGCTTTACCAACTGGTAATTCAGGGATCAGAGTGGCAAGCCTGTGCCTTGTGGGGCCTCTGACACAGTATAGGTGCCACTGCCTGGCACCCAGTTTCTCAGAGAGGTCACCGTGTCAGTGTCCTGCCCCAGCTGGCCCAGCCTCTGGAGACAGTCTTTGATACCTGCCAGGGACCCTGCCTGCCGAGGACCTGGCCAGTGCCTCTTGTTGTGTTGCCAGCTTTGATGGCAAGGTGCCTTGGGGGCTGCACTTACCTGATCACAGGCCCTCAAACGGGGAGGGCTGAGCAGCTGGTCCCTGCACTAGGCAGGGCTCCGCCCCTGCTGGGGGTCCCAGACAACTCCTCATCCTCTCAGAGAGGAAAGACTTTTGCTTTAAAAATATCTTCAATAATAAGATTCTATTTTGGGAGTAAGAGGAGCGGAGTTAAATATGAAAACATTTTCTTTTTTTGATAAGACACACAGTGCCATGTTTCCTGGTTTAAACTCAATGATCATATAAAAGAGAAATCAGGTCCTGCTGCCTTGAGCCTTGTTCTGAGGTCCTCAGTCTGATCCCAGGGTACAGACGGCTCCAGGCAGAGGTCTCCTTGTGTTATAGAACTAAACAGAAGGTCTGCTCTCCACGAAAGGGTTTCCCAGGGACCCTGTGAGGTTTGTGGCTCCAGGATGCTTCCAGGGAAGGTACCTCCTTTCCCCACGTGGGAACCCCAGCAGGAGGGCTCCATGGCCAGAGGCAGGGGATGGTTGATTCAAGAAAGGTCGCCTGGGCTCAGAGGCACTCACACCTGCCTCTCAGCCGGACCCTGGGACCCTGCATCCCCCGGGTGGGGAAGGGGCCTCTGGCACTGCACCTGGCACTCTTGCCTGGGACCACCCCAGGGTGCTGGGCCTGGTGGGTGTGCCTGACACCTGCTGAAGTGCTCTCGTGAAAGGAGTCTCTGCCGCGGGAGGCGTCCCACATCTGGGCGGCCACATGGGCAGCCTAGGCCTCGCTGGAGGACTGGGAGGCTCCCTGGAGCAGCAGGGCGCGGTAGGCGGGGGAGCTGAGGAAGCGGGGGTAGGAGTCTCGGTGCATCAGCGTGTAAATCTGCAGCTGTGCGTCATCGAACGTGTGCGCCGATGGCTCCTGCATCTTCTTGTTGATGCCCTCCCGCACCCGGGAGTCCAGGCTCACCTGCGGGACAGGGGCCACGGTCAGGGGCGCGGAGGCGCCCCCGCCCTCCCACCCCGGGCCCAGCGCGGCACACCTCCTTGGGGGACAGGATGGACACGTAGTCCTCGTAGATGAGCCGGGCCTTCTCGTCCACGACGTGCTGGTTGGCCTCGGCCTTGAGCTCCTCGCAGGCTAGCCAGAAGAGCATGTTCTCCTCGCTGTACTCCGTGCGCAGGAACTCCCGGAATACACTGCGGCCCGCGGGGCTGTGCATCAGCTTGTCGAAGGACTGCGCCCAGCTCCGCACCTCTTCTGGGGTCGGCGTCGGCGTGGCGCTGCGGGGGGGCATCCAGGCATCAGCTGGCCGCATCAGGCTCCGCCCCCTCCCGCGCAGAGTCCCAGGGCCAGACTCACCAGACTTCGCAGCTGGGAAGGGGCTGCAGCCTGCTCTCCCGCGAGGCTCGCCAGGCCCGCCGCCGCTCTTCGTTCCTGCGGGCAGAGGGGACGGTGGCACTGTCCTCCAGGCACACGTATGCATGTAGGACACTCTGCACACAGGTGTTAGTACGGGCAGGAGGCCTCGGGGCTCTCAACACACAGGTGAACCCGTCGCAGGTGGGTCTGCTGCTTTCCCAGCCTTTGGTCCTGCCTTGGGACCGTCTTCTTGCCTTCGGGGCTTCACAGGCCCCAGGTGTCGGCCTCCCTCCCTCCCTGGCCTGACCTAGACCCTTGCTGCTTTTTTCTGCAAACCCCACTGATGTGGTGAAGGCCCAGCCCGTGTGTCTGACCCCTGACTCTCCCCAGGGAATCTGCTTCCCTCCTTAGCTCTGAGCACAGCATCAGTGATGGCTTCCAAGTCCACACCTCCAGCCAGACCTCTCACCAGGATCACTGACACGGCTAAGGACATCTCAGACTCAGGGTTTGGACAGAACTCAGTTCCCTCCTTTACCCCCACCTTTCAGATGCCAAACTCCTCTCCTGGTCCCTACAGGCAAAGGCTAAGTGGGTCCTAACAGTTCATGGCCTCCCATCTCTAACCCCAGGCAGTTTCTCTGTTTCAGGCCTAGGCTCAGGTCTCAGTTGTTCGCTGGTAAGCTGATCCCCACTTGGGTCCCCTCAGCGCTGTCCACTCAACAGCCAAAGACTGAAAATCTGCAAAGGACCATATGCCTCTGCAAGGCACAAAAACCCCAACAGGTTCCCTAGGTGCCTAGAAACTAGTTCACCCCTGGAGGCTCCATGCCTGCCCCCACCCAGGGACTGTCCCAGGGCCAAGTCTCTGCTCAAAGCACCTCCACCTGACGGTCTGTAGGACCTGCTTTTGTCTTGTTCTGTTTTAGTCCCCAGGGCTAGTCTGGGCCAGCTTACAGAGACAGACAGACAGACAAGACAGACACCGCACCTCCCCTCCCCCCCCAGCTTACAGCAGAGACGCAAACACACATGCACGCCAGGTGCCTACATGTTACAGTAGACACACACACACACACCCCAGCTTAGAGTAGAAACACACACACAGCTAGCTTACAGTAGATACATACACACACACACGCATGCACGCCAGGTGCCTGCATGTGGATACCACCCGCACTGACCACTGGTCACCAAGCCCCTGGATAAGTGCTGTGGGTGGCAGGGGTACCCTACTTGGAGGTGATGCCTCAAAAGCCTCCTAAGGGCTAAGGAGCAGGGTCCTGGATCCTAGGTCTGCTCAGCGCCCCCTCCCCACCAGGCACATGAAGCATTCCCCAGGCCCACATACCAAGAGCAACTGCAACAGCAGCACCAGCACAAACAGCAGGGGTTTCGCCTGGGGGGAGCCGGGGGGGCCGCATCATGACTGGACATCGAGGGGGGCTGGTCCGCCTCCTCTGGCCCTGTTTGCTGGGGGAAGACAGGGCTGCCTCAGCCTCCAGGCAGAGCCCATGGTTACCACCCGCTTTCCAGCCCCAACTGCCCACTGGAGGCCATGCTTGCTCCCAGGGCTATGACGCTTGTGGCCTCCCAGATGTCCAAGGGTCTCTGAACTCCTAGTCATGCCCTCAGCCCCCACCCCCCAAGGGACAGAGGCCAGGGTGGAGGCAGCCCACCTGCTTCTCAGCCTCAGGTGGGGTGGGCATGGATGGGTGGAGGAGGTTGCCAGGGCTCCGCGGTGCCTGTTCCAGGACACCTGTTCCTGTCACCACAGCCTGGGGGTCTGAGAAGAGAGGCCGGGGTTCTCACTGAGAACCTGACACCTGCCCTGGCCTGCACCCCGCCAGGCATTCTGAGTCTCTCCCTACCTGCCTCCCTGACCCCCCACCCCCACAGGATCTCCCCGGCCTCCCACCTCCAGACTACTCTGCCCAGGCCCAACCCCCACTCTAGTCTACACCACAGTTGTGAGGGGATGGGGATCAGGAAGGAGGGGACCCCAGACAAGATCTCCACAGGAGGTTCTGGGACACCCCCATCTGCTTGCTCCCTGGGAAGCCGGAAGCAGGGGTTCCTCTTTCTTGGTTTCCGGCTCCTGGCCCCTCCCAGGGGGCTGCAGGCCCCCAGAGTCTGAGGCTTTCAGGGGTGATGATAGACATTTGGAACCTCCATCCCAGCTCCCTCCATCCCAGGTTTTCCAGGGGATGGGTGGTGGGAGGTGGGGAGGCTGCTTCCCACCAGGAGTTCGGAAGGGCTGCTGGGCCTTGGAGGACCCCCCGCCTGCTCCCAGGGACTCCACAGAGGGAGCAGACCAGGCCTGTGGCACGGAGCCCTGGAGTAGGACTTGGGGTTGAGGCAGGACGTCCTGAGGGTGCAGGCAGTGCAGCAGGAACGGGTGAGGAGGGCTGAGAGTCACCAGGCACCGCCGCCTTCTCAGCCAGGACGCTGGCTCCGCACCCAACCTTTGCTCCCGCACCCAACTTTCGACTGGCACCTCCGGGTCTCCCAGCCTCCCTTCCCCTCCCCATACCCAGGCTGCGGAAACCGCTGCGGCCCCAGGCCTTGACGCAGGCAGGCGGTGGCGCGTTTTGCTCCCGGGCTGGTAGGAGCCGCGGGGTCCCTTCCGCTCGGAGCGGCATCGGGGCGCACCTTCCCCTTCCGCAGTGCGGGCGTGCGGGGGGTGCCCAGTCCCACCCGGATGAGCGGCCCCTGTTGGGAACGCGGGGACCGAGGCGCGGGGCGGCCAATCAGGCTCCAGGAGGCAGTTTTGAACGCCTTCCCACCTGCCCTCACCCCACCCCCACCTCGGCCCAGGTGAGGCATCCCGCCCCCTCCCCCAGGACCGGGGGCGGCCCCTGGCGCGTCTGGGGCGCGGACCTTCTGAAACCCCGCCGCGAGAGGCTCACGACTTGGTTTCACTTTATTTTCTCATTAATGAACATTCTCTCTGCTGCCCCCCATTCCTCAGCTTTGGCCTTTCAGTGCCTGTTTGGTTCAGTTGGCCTCTTGGGGTCTGCGATGGCAGGAGAGGAAAACGATGTTGCAGGATGGGCCCCAGGGCGGCCACAGGCTGGGCATCCCCGGCGTCCCGTCTCCTGGCCAGGTGCTGATGCCCAGAGGTGACAGCCCGAGACATGCATGCTGAGGGCACCAGAGTCTGAGCATGCAGAGGCCCCTGCCCTGACCCAGATCTGGGGGCCAGGTGTAGGGGCCCATGGGGTCTTGGCCTTTGGCCGCCTGCCTGGCTTCCCCTGGATCAGGGGAAGGTGGACCATCAAGCTTCCAGCAAACAGACAAGATGGGGAAACAGCAGCCCCACAGCTTGCCTTCCCGCAGGGGTCAAGTTTCTAGGGAAAGGAAGGGGTGTGGCAACCTCTGAGGTCTGGTAGCTGTACCCCAGTCGGGCTGTGACTTCCCCAGGCAGAGCGGCTCTTCCTCCTCTGCATCTCCACCCACTGTGAGTGGGGGCAGGGCCCAATTCCCCCCTCACCGCCCCCTAGCTCCCTGAAGATTAAACTCCCTAGCCTGCCTTCTCCAAATCATCTCTGAACTGGAGGAGGGGACCTGCCTGAGAGTGCAGTGCCCAGGTGCTGGGGGCCGAGTTTGTGGCAGAGAGGGGGAGAGGCCGCCCCTCTGCCCTGGTTGTAGGCCCTGGACCTTGTCGCCCACCCCTGGACCTGGCTCCCTGCACCATCCCCAGGTCGGCTGGGACCACTTATGCCTCTGGGGCACCTGCTCTCTCTCCTGGTGGGGGTACAGGATCAGATTCAGGGTTCCTGCTCCTCATCCGGGCATGTGGAAGGGGGCTCCTTCCCCTTCCCCAGCCCCATCCAGTCTTTGGCCCCTAGATCTGGGATGGGAGAAGCTGGACGGGCAGTAAGTCTGGCCTCTGGGGACAGAGGTTCCCTCGGGAACAGCTGCTGCTCTGCTCCACAGAAGGAAAAAGAACGTCCCCGAGCCCGCCCAGTCCAAAAAAAGAATAAGAAAATGTGACAATCCCAGGGAAAAATGCCATAACCTTTGTGAGGGGGGTTGCCAGAGGGGATCCATTCTCCTCTCATCCTCCTCAGCACCTTTCCTGTCTGCTTCGCCCCCGCCCCTCCACCACTGGGCTGGTAGGGAAGTCCCAGCCTAGCGGTTCCAAGGCAGGCCAATCTTCCTAGCCCTGGTGACCCTCGCCCCAGCCCACCTCTGCAATGGCAGGGGCAACCCACTTTTCTCTCTCCCTGTCTCAGCTAATAGGGTCTGGCCTGGGGAAGTCTGCCCCTTTCTCCGGCCTCTGACGCCCCTACCCTACCCTCAAGGAACTCGCCACGCGCCCCACTCACCAGCGACCCAAAGGCGAGGTGGGGGCGGGAGGGGCCAGGTCGTTCTGGGCCCCACCCTGGCTGCCGAAGGGGCGTGCACTGCAGCAGCAGGACTCAAGTCAGACGGCAGGAGGTCCTCCTGCGCGTTCTGGAGCGAGGCTGGCGCCTGAAGCCCCAGATCAGCTCGGGCCGGGGGCGCAGCGCCTCCCCTCCGACTGGCGGGGATGAGTGGCTGCCAGATCCAGCGGGGTGGGGGCGGGGGCAGTACGGGTGTCCCGCCTCGGCCCCTCCCCACCAGGCTGAAGGGGGGACGGGAGACGCGGAAACCTGGGTTCTTCCGGCCCCCCCCCCCGACTTTGAGCAATCACTTCCCCAGGCTTTGAGCTGCAGAAAAAGGGGAACCCGCTTGCTACGCCCCCTCCCCCACGCGCGGGGACGGAATCCAGTCCCGCCGCGGCCCAGGGTCCACGTGGACCCCGCGGCGGGAGTCCTTGGGTCGCGGATCTGGGTGCCGGTTTCTGAAGCTCCCGCCCCGCACAGCCCACGGGCCCCGGGCCGGAGAGGCAGGGCCGCCGTCCTGGGCGCCGCGCGCGCGCGCACTCACCGGCCGCGCTCCCGAGCCGCTCGCGCCTCAGCCGCCGGCCCGCGCGCTCCGAGGTCCGGCCGGATCGTCGGGGAGCGGGCGCAGGCTGCAGTGCGCAGGCGCCTCGGCCGCACTTCCCCAAAGCGCGGGGCCGGGACTTCCTCGCACGGGGAGGTGCCCGGCCCGGCGCGCCCCGCCCCGAGCTCTGCCGGCTCTGCGCCCCACCCGCCCCCTCCCCACCGCTCCGCGCGCTGCGGCGCGGCGCATGGGTCCCCATTGTCGCTTAGAGTGGCCCGCGGAGATGAGGTGCTGATGCTGGGGCCTCTGGCTCCCGGAGCGGCTGAAGTGGTACTGCGGCAGCTGGGGGTGTGGCCGGGCCAGTCCAGCGTTGCCGTTATGGGGGTGGGGGTGGGGGGTGGAAGGGGGCGACTCCATAGGCTGCTTGCCCCTCTTGAGGAAGGGAGAGGCGGCTGGAAACGACTGGACTCCGTGGTCACTCCCGGGCCATCGCTTGGCTCTCTGGCACTGAGTATCCTTCGCTATGAAACACGGTTAAGGGCGTACTGTCAGTCACCGTGCTGTAGGGCCTTCTCAAGGAAGGCGTTTCCTAGGCTGCAGCGCCACTGTTGTGGGGGGCGGAGGGGTGGGAATGGTTCTTATATACGGGGTCGCCGAAGTCCCTGTCCGCGTGGCCGGCTGAGTCCCTTTCAACCCCTCCAGTTACCCCAAGATGTTCTAAAGTTTAAAGGCACACCTTCCCCTTTGCCAGGAATGCCTGTGTCTTCTCTTTGGCCAAATCTCGTATTTTATGACTCGGTACAGGTGTGAGTTAAATTCCTTATCCCAGCATGCTGTGGGCCCGTGTTTGGACGGCCCTGACCCTGCTCTGTAAGTGGTCTGCAGAGTGTCTGTGTCCCCCGGCCTCAGAGCGTGTACAGCTCCTATCCCTTGGTCCCCGGGCCTGCTCACAAAATGCCTTACAGTTGCACAAAGTTATATGTACTCACGTGTTTCAGCAATCTTGGGGATATAAAGGGAAGGGGAGAGTTTACATACTGTCTTCATCCTGCAAATGTTTGGGTGTTCTCTACATGTCAGCCTTGGGACCTGGCAGTGGGCAGGACAGACCAGCCACGGAGCAGACAAGAAATGGACTTGCAGACTGGGTGAGAGGTGAGGAGGGCTAAGGAGAATCACAGCGCAGAGAACGGGTGTTTCAGACCTGCATCTTGCTTGGCAAAGGATAGAACTGGAGCCAGCAGCAGCTAGGCAGAACTGAGCTGCAGAGAGTGCAGGCCAAGGCCAGGGAGGAGGGAGAGGCCCCGCAGGCTGGGGAGCCTCTTATGCTGTGTGTCCAGAGGCGGCCGTGTTGACAGGCTGGCTGGGCCGGAGCAGAGGCCAGAAGCCTTCCCAGATGAGAGGTGGCTCCTTCTTATTTAGCCTAGATAACAGCCCCAAGAGGTAAGGCCTTCAAAGATGGGCCAACACTTAGTCCGGCTCACACAGCCATGCTCATGCTGTGATGCTTGACATGGCATCTCCACCCGCATCCTGAGACGTGCGGGGCAGCTGGATGTGGTGGGGGTCGGCGTACGTCTCTCCTGGGGTAACACTGGGGGTGGGATTTGAACCCAGGACCCTCTGTCTAGAGCATGAGCTCCCAGCCCTGGGGATCCCCCCCACCCTGATCTCTTATAGCCTCCAGTCATTGGGTTGTGGCTTGCATGTTTTGCTTTCTCATTGCAGAAGCTTCCTCCAGGCCCTGCAGCAATGTCCTCGGCCCCTTTCCGAGGTGTTCTCTCCAGACTAAGGCCGCCTCCCTGGTGGGGTGATCAAAGGGTATCCCCTGTGCCAGCCCCCACCTGGTGCAGCACTGTCTGTGAAGGCTCCTCAGGGCTGTGTGCACCTCTCTTGTCCTCTGCTCTTCAGTGCCTACCTGTTTAGAGTGACCCCTCTCTTATGGAGCACTCACCTGGGGCCATGGTGCCATGTGAGGTCACTAAGATTTCCTTTTTAAAGACAAAGAAATGGAGGCTCAGAGGAGTGATGAAGTAAAATGTGCTTTTACTAAACAGATGAAATCATTCCAGTGCTTGACACTTCCCCCAGAGATGGAATGCTGGGGTTCAGATCGCAGGGAGCTTAACCAGGGCAGCCAGGGCCAGCTGGCATCTGGCACATGTCAGCACGTAAGTGGCTGTTGCTCTGGGACAGAGACGTTGCTCTGTCCCATGCCCAAGTCACCCTCTCTCCCTTGTTCCTTATTCTCTCTGCCTGCCCTCCTTTAGAGAGCTCCCTCATTTCTCCTGGAGCTTCCAGAGTTCAGCTCCACACACAGTTTTGGCTTGGATCAAGGCCAAGGGTGCAACAGCTCAGAACTGGCCAGGTGTCCTGTGTGGGGGTAGCGATTGCTGGGGACACAGAGGGTTCTGGTCCCCATCCTGAGCCTGGTCAGGGAGGGCACTGGCCGCCATTGAACAGAACTCCTTGCTGACCCCAGCTCTGGCCTCTGCTGGTAGAGGATGCACCCCTCTAGGACCAGTTCTCTGCTGTAGTCTGGTGATTCTGCTGGAGCCTTCCGGCAGAGGATGGCCTTGTGTGAGGCCCCCACCTCTGTGATAACCCGCTGGACTGCGGAGAGGGAGGAGAAAGGAGAGCCGGCTAAGAGAAATCCCAGGCTCTGCAAAGAGTTTGTGTTGGGGAGAGAAGTAAATTCTTGAAGGGGAAATCTGTCCAGAAACTAAGGATGTTCTTTGGAATCCAGAGGTTTTGCAGGATGTGGGTTTGTCAAAGTGGGACAGGAGTGGTGTCCTTCCTGTCCTCTGTGTGTGTGTGTTCCAGTAAGGGGGATCAAAGGGGCAGAGAGGGACTATCAGGATGGAAAGGAAAATCGAGGGTGACTTTCTGTCTGGGCGACTCAATGGACATGAATTTGAGCAAATTCATGGAGATGGTGGAGGACAGAGGAGCCTGGCGTGCTGCAGTCCACAGTGCAAAGAGTCTGACACGACTGTGTGACTCAATAAGAAGCAGAGGTCTGCCTTAAGAGATCTCCCCTTCCCCAGTCTCCCTGTCTTCTGAAGACCCTCCTAGACAGAGCTGACTGTCCGAAGGCCAGCCTTGACTCTTGTCAGAAGGCCAGCGTTGGCTCTTGCAGTCACTCTCCTGCCCAGAACGTCAGCTTCCTCTCTGACCCTCTGATGGAATAGCCTGTGGTCTAGGGGTCCTGCTTTCTCCCTGAGGTTGCCCTCACTTCTGGGGTTGCAACACTTGCCCAGCCAGGCTCTTCTTCCTGGCACAGCCAGACTGGAGACCCCCACGAATTCACAGGGCACCAGGTTGCCTGCTGGGGGCAGCATGGGATTTGAGGGGTTAGGGATGTCCCTGCCCGCTGTTAATCTGATGTCCGCCTATTTGCACCTTTCCACTTCGTTGGCGGAGCTGCATCCTGTGTACCGTGATGTCCTGTGACATAGGATGTGGGAGACCCAGCATCCATCCTAACCCCTTCCCTCCGCCGGGGGACTTAGAGAGGGGAAGCGTACAGACCGGGGGGGTGGTTGGGATATGAGACTTTATGTAGGAGGGTGGGGCGCGGTTTCGCGCTGTGGGATCGCTGTCAACGTGGGAAGATGCTGCCGTGGACTTTCTCCTCCAGGATGGTCTCCACTCGCCTCCTCTGCGGGGGAAAAGGGGGCTTGGGCTCGGTGTGCGGGCGGGCCTTCCCTCCCGCCCCTTCCCGGGCTCGCGGGCACCTCTTGCCGGTCCAGGGGGTCTGGGATCCTCGTGGGCTTCAGCTGCGGCGGCAGGAACAGCTCCAGCCGGATGGCGGCGCGCGCGGACCTCTGGCTCTGAATGAGGAGCGAGATCTCCTCCGCCTGCGGGATCGGGGTCGGGGCCGGGGCCGGGCTGTTGCGGAGCCTTAGCGACGACGGGTGCCCCGCCTGGCCTGTAGCGCTCCCATCCCGGCAGTCCCCCCGCCCAGGCCCCGAGCCTGCCTCACCCGCATGCGGGCGTAGCGCAGCCGGAGCGCGCGGACTCGGCCGCGGGCCTCGGCGGCCTTAAGGACGCCTAGGAGCCGGTCCTGGCGCTGCGCGGGTGGCTCGAGCGGCAGCGTCCACGCACGCGAGTCCGGCATGCGGTACCCCACCTCCGCTGACTCGCACGGGAAGAGACAAGAGGTCGCGCGCACGTCCTCCAGCAGGTCGCCGAAGAGCAGGTGGCTGCGGCGCTGCGCCGGCCGCATGGCCGCCAGCCCCTCCAGCGTGAGGGCCCAGCCCGGCTTGGGGGGCTCCGCCTGGGCACGCCCCACTCGGGCCCCTGCTCCCTGCTCGCCCTTGTTCGCTCGCTCCCGCGGGCCCCTCCTCCCGGTCTCCTTAGCTGGCTCCGGCTGCATCCTTGAACCTTGTGGAGGGAAGACAACATCCAGCCCTTGCCGCCCGCCCCTTTGGCCTGACCTGGGCCCACCTTGGGCGCCCAGCTCCCGCCCCTCTGAGGACCCTGCGGAACCCACTTTAGGGCCTGGACCTCTGATCTCTGCACTTTTACCCCAACCTCGCACACGTCCCGGTCAGCTCAGTCTTTCTATTCACTCCGGCAGTCCGCTAGAACTTTCTGATCCACTCCCTTTCTGCCCCGGGGCTGTTTCTCTGTCCACTGAGAAAAGGCTGAGACCCCTGAGTTGACCTCAAGTACTGCCCAGGGGTGGAGACTGCTTGAGACTGCTCTGGGTGAGGCTTGGTGGACACTCCCCATGCCGGACCCTCTTTGTGTTTAGTCCCACCACCTGCGTTGGCCTTAGGTCCCTCTGTTTTAGTGTTAGGGACTGGAGATATAGGTTGTGGGTCTTCCTTGTGTCTGAGCAGACGACTCATGCTTTTCTGGGAGATGTGTGTGTGTGTTTGATTTTCTTATGTGGGTCAGTTTGTCTGTGGGAGGTCTCACTTGTGTGCGGTGGAGGCTCAGAGTCCAGTGGACAGCTGACTTGCTGTGGGGGCGATGCCATCCTCCCAGCCTGTCCCCTCTGGGTCTAGATGGCCTAAAGGAGTGGAGCCCAGGGAGGAGATGGGGGGTGGGGAGGGAGGACCCACTAGGTGGGAAAGGGAAACACCCAGAAGTCCCTACAGGGCACCTTTCTTCACCCAGCCCATCCCACAGACCCCAGGCCAGCTCCCGGCCCACACTGGGACAGGGGCTGACGGCCGCTCCCTCCCCCACCCCATCCTTAGCAGCGGGCAGTGGAATGCCCCGAGCCCTTGCATCCCGTCCCCACACCCCATACTTTCCACCTTCTCGGATCTGAACCTCCAACTCAGCCGGGACTCTCAGGGACTTGTTGACGGTTGCTCGGTAACCAGGAGACCCGCCCCTCCCCCATGCCAGCAGGGGCGGGGCGACCCCTCGGAAGGTGCGCAGTTAGAGCCTTGGTCCAAGAGCGAAGATGCCCTGGACACCTGCGCTGAGGGACTTTCCAGCTCTAAGGACGCTGGGGGAGATGACCCCAGCCTTTCCAGACAGAGTGCGGGCTCTTTGTTTTCTGAGGAGCCCCAGAGGCGCTCTTCCACGGGCTGTGGGCTCAGCTTCCTGGCTGGAGAGCTGTCTACTGGCCAGTTCTGGGGTTAAGGGGCGCAGCTCTGAGGACACCTTCCAAGTTGAGCCCTTTTCCCCTCTGCATGGCCCTAGAGGCCTCTCACAGCAGAACACGGGGTTTTCCCCTCTCCCCGGGTAAGTTTGGGGTCTAGGGGTCTAAGACTAAGACTCAGGCTTTGACGAACTCTGAATCTCTGGGTCCTGGCTCCTAGAATCCTGTTATCTACGTATTTATGAGTTTCATGATATTTTATAACTGATTCACTTAATTTGATTCTTTAATTTGTTCATGCACTCATCAGTTTATTCCAGATTCATTAATCCATGAACTCATTCCAGTTTATGTTAAACCAGAACTAGTGCATTAGGTCCATAATTTGTTCATGTATTGGTGGTTCCCACAGTGCTGACATGCCTCTCCCTTTCATTCCTGGTTGTCTACTTGGGCCTGTGGATGGTGCCTTTTTGGGAGCTCATGACCTGAGTCTCTGAGGGGAGGGACTGTCTTGGCTTTGGTGGGGGTGGGTCTCAGCTGGGGTTCTGACCTTTTGGAAGGAGGCTGTTGACCGTTCCCATTGTTTTTTGAAAGTTTGCTCTGGCTTCCGGTGAGAGGGTAAGCTCTGATTCGGTAGCCCCATATCTCCAGAGCTGGCATGCCATCCACCCCCTTCCTGAAACTGCATAGAAACAGTCCATCCTTCCCATCCCCAAGTTATGAGAAGCTGTCCCTGGGACCTTCCCCTTCCTGCTGCTGGGCTGGTTCCTTTAGGATAGGGCTTCCCTGGTGGCTCAGATGGTAAAGAATCTGCTTGCAATGCAAGAAACCTGGGTTCGATCACTGGGTTGGGAAGATCCCCCTGAAGAAGAAAATGGCAACCCACTCCAGTATTCTTGCCTGGAGAACTCCATGGACAGAGGAGCCTGATGGGCTACAGTCCGTGGGGTCACAAAGAGTCAGACACGACTAAGCGACTAACACAAACACACTAGGCCTTGGGATTCAGCTTCACCTGGGGGCTGCTGCTGCTGCTTTAAAAAAAAAATTTGTGTTTTAAGGGTGTTCTTGATTTAGTGTTGTGTTAGTTTCAGGTGTATAGCAAAGTGAATCAGTTATACATATACATATATCCACTTTTTTTTTTCTAAAGTAGTGTGTACCTGTCAGTCTCAATCTCCCAATTTATCCCCTCTTCCCCCCTTATTCCCTGGTAACCACAAGTTTGTTTTCTACATCCGTGACTCTACACCTGGTGGCTTTTGAAGACAAAGGTCTCTGGGCTCCAGAAGAAGCAGTGAGGGCTTAGGCAGGCTGACTTAGCAGGCTGCCTCCTTCAGGCAGGCCTCCTGGATATATGAAACCCAGGCTGGGGCCACCTCTAGCCCTTACTTGGTGCTCCCCCAGGAGGGAGTTCTCTGAGCCAGAAGTCTGGGCCCTCTTCTCAGCTTCCCTGGGCCCAGGCCAGGGGGCTCCAGGGGGAAGAGGCTTGTAGGAGTGGGAGTTATGGTGTGGATGTGGGGTGTGGGGAATGGGCACATTCTCCTGCAAGAAGGGATTCCCTCTGTTTTTGTAGGACTGAGAACCTTTGACACCCTCTCCTCCTGATTCCCGAGGGGCCATATGCTGGCAGAGCTCACATTCCTGAGTGGAGCTTCTTCTTGCTTCTCCAACATCTTCCCCACTCTCCTGGGATGGGAGGTGCTCTCGCTGTCTGGGCCAGCCAGTGTGAGATACCCTGCCACATCTGCTTGTTTCTGTGTCCAGGTCTTGTATTTGTCACAGGCAGATGGAAGTGCTGAGATCTAAGGGCATGCGGATCAATGCCAGGGCCTGGAAATAAAACTTTGAAATAATATTAATAAGTGTTATTAAATGGCTGCAAAATTTAACATGATATCGCAAACCTACAATTCTCTGTCACTGTATGCAAATATTAAGAAGTTAAGATCACAAGGAAAAAGTAATATTTTATGAAGAAGCCCAGAATTATGAAAATCCTTTTACCTTTTAACAGTACAATTAGTCTGGTGACTGAATTCCCTGGGGATGGCTGAATTCCCTGGAGGCTGCCAGCAACTGTGCTTTGATTCCTGTGCCCTGCTCAGGGGTGGCGAGACATGTGGGGACGAAGGGGCAGCAGCCAGTGTGCCATCTGGCGTTGATGGGCCTGGGTCCCTGGTGCAAGAGTGAGGTGTTTGTGGGTGTCAACGGCACTTTGGGACCTGTGTCCTGCCCCAAATGCCTGTGACCTCCAAGAGCAGCCCTGGTCAGGCTGTCACTGCATTTGTGGACATTGGTGCTGTCCTTTGTGGAGGCTGTGTGTCTTGGGCTGTCCCTGGTGCCCCTGTGTGTTTTGTTTTGCCTGCGTGTGGTGTGTGTGTTTGGGGGGTTGTCTTACTTTGATGCAAATGCTTACATGTGTTCCTTGCTGCCCCACCTATGACACATACATTTTGTGTCTCATCCTGGCTATGCAGGGGTCCAGAAAGACGAGGCCATTTCCTGGGCCAGCCCTCTCTGTGAGAACACACCAGGGTCCAACGCTGGGGGGCTGCCATCTCCAGGGGATGTCATCAGCACCACAGCCTGGCCACCCACCAACCTGTCCTTGGACTGAGACTGCCTGTGAGGGGCCGGATGTCAGCCTGCAACCACCCTGTATGCTTTCTCTATCTGATTCGCCCTCCTGGGAGATCTGTCCAGACCGGAACTCACATTCAGCCGCACAGCAGCCTTCTAGCTCAACCCCTCCCTCAGGCTGAAGGCCATTAGGAAATGCATCTCCAGAAGCTGGCGGCCAGGTGGGCCCAGACAGTGAGGGGTGGGAGGGGATTGGCTGCTCAGACCTTGGGGAGCCCAGTGTGGTTGGGGAGGCTGCAGGAGGCTGAGACCCCCTGGCTTCCTGCCCTGCTGGGCTCCCAAGGGCTTCAAGCTTCTCCTGGAGAATGTGATGCGTGTATGTGTCCCGGGGGTGTCTGAGGCCTTGATCTGCTTCTTTTCCCGTGTCTACCATGTGACTCACATGCACCCTGGTGTGGGTTTGCGTGGCTGTGGCCCATGTGTTTGTGGGTCAGAGATGTCTGTACATCTCTGAGCACATAGCTGTGTCTGTGCCTTTCCCTGGGTGCCTGTGTGGGCATCTTTGTGTGTGTTTGTGAGTCTTGTGTCCTGATTACCTTTGTGGTTGTGCCCTGTGTCTCCTCACGTGTCCCTGAGTTGACTGCAGTGAAGATCCAGAGAGAGATCTTGGGACAGCTTGGGATGCTGAGTCCTAGGGTATCTGTCTGCTCTGTCCTCTCCTGATTCTCCAGGTATCCTAGCAACGTTGCTGCCAGTTGCCTAGCAACCAGGTCCCCATCTTTGGAGACACATGCTCCAAGCAGGGTCCGGGCTGTGTGGGCAGAGCCTGGGCGGGAAGAACGACCCCATGATTGGGTAGGGCTGGCAGTTCTGCTCAGGGGTCACCCATATGACATGTGACCCCAATGCTGGGAAGGAGGCATGTTCAGTGGTGTGGGTGCTGGGGACCCAGGCTGTGAGGGAATGACGCCCAAATGTTTCTCTGGGACTCAGCTGTGGCAGAGTTGCCCTTGGTGGGTCTCCAAGTGGCAGACAGACCTGGGTTTGAACCCTGTCTCTGCTACTTCGACAGGTGGCTTCATACTGCTGAGAAGCTGAGGCTTACTTCTCTTGTGGGCACAAAGGTGATGCTGAGGGCAATGGTCAGGGGTAGTGGGGATGGACGAGCTTGTGCTCATGATGGGCTTGGCACACAGGAGGCCCAGGGGCACACTGGACAGTCAGACATC